GTCCAAGGCGCAGACGGCAAATGGTTGATGTAATTTGTTTGCTGGCAGTACGGTATTGGAAGAATCAGGGATTTTCGTGAATGTCTTCTCGGGCTAGAGCATAATATTTAATCAGAAACAAGTTTGGATTTGCACCAAATATTGCCATGAGGCCCCATGAGGCCCCATGGCCTGAACTAGTTGATGGTATCAAATCATATAAAAAGTATCTTGCAAAGAAAGGGAGTTAGATGTTTAATCTGATTTTGCTAGTTCATTGCTAGACAATTAGCTTTTATACTATAACGAAAGTACAAATACTTTTCATTGACGTTTAAGGGTGTCTGGCGGGGGGGTTGCTACGATTCTAATTGTGTAGCAATAGTTTGGATAAATTTCTATTACTACTCAGATGAAAATATGAAAAAAATGTGTTTTATTATATTTACCCTTGTTACTTGTTACCTGCTAAATCCACCATAATCTTAATTTTATAGTTACCCGCCGTTCTTACCTGTGCCTAGCTTTAGTTGAAACTAAAATATCGATCAATTTTTTTTAAATATAAATACAACCCTAATAAGTACCTAAAAATACAAACTTTGGCCGAAGTTGTGATAGGCAATTATTATCTTTAACTCAAAGACATAAGGACGTTTGTGAGTGCACCTTACGCTCGTGGCGTCGAGTGATAGTACCTGCTCGATATGTTTTCTTGTAAGAGTGTAAAACGAAAAACGTCACAATGTACGGCGTTCATAAAAGGAAATCTAATATCAAGTCTATAAGGTGTCTTTATAAATACATAACAATTAACATTTAAGTTTAAATAATGAGTATAGTCAACGTCAATAGGAGCTAAAGGGGCCCATTCACTATCCTGCCTGGCAGTCCGCCGTGCGGTCCGCCGCTTTATTCAGGATTGTGAATGGTGTCGCAGGCCTGCAAAGTTTCTGGCAACACCGAGCAGGACGCGCCTTGCATCCTGCAAGGGACCTGCAAGTGACCTGCAAGCTCCGCCCACCGCTTGCAGTCCGCGGCGCAGGAGCATCAGTGGTAGAGATGGTGCGTATTTACGTTACTAGGTATTGATACCAGGTATTTACTTGCAAGTATACCAACCAGGTACCGACCCGATATACTTGCAAGACTTGAAAGTACTTTTCTTTTAAAGTATACGAGCCCTTCAAAGTAAGTATTACTACGTAGTCGATCGAACTCTAACGTAGAACGAATCGAATCGTGCGCCGTGCGATGGCGAAGATATGTGTATCGGTCTCGCCTGGTGTCTCTCTCACTTGAATAAATAACTTATGTCCATATGTATAAGGTTCAGATTGTCCTTATACGTGAAGTAAAATACTTTCAAAGTATTTTATGTCTTGATTGGAATATTCTGAATCTTATGTTTATAGCGTCAAGGTTTAAATTTGCGTGAAGTAAAATAAACGTGAAGTAAAATACTTTGAAAGTATTTTACGTCTTGATTAGAATATTTTGAATCTTATGAGTATAGTAACAAGGTTTAAATTTGCAAAGAGACAAGTATTTGACTCGTTGCGTTGAACAGAAAATACTTTGAAAATATTTTGGTACCTGGTTTTTGTACCTGGTATGAGAAGGTGCAAGTACTTTTAAGACCTGGTACGCCATTTAGCAAGTATAACCCATCCCTAGTCAGTGGTATGACCGTCCTGCATCGCGCAGTGCTGCCATAAGAAGAAAAAAAGATGCATTAAGCCCTTATCAAAATTGCGTTATATTATACGAAAATACGAAAGCTAAATTAGGAATTTTTCTTGTAAATTTAGACTACATATTTACAATAGAATTTTTGTTTTAGGTAAGTTTTTTAGAAATATTTTTAGGAATTAAATTTTATTTACATGTGTGAAAAAAATCTAGGATTATGTACTTTATTTTAAACAAAAAAAAACGTGTGCATCCAGGGACGCCCGACTGATGTGATAACTGTGAGACTGATAACCACTTCCACAGTTTTCTCTATTTCGTGATGTACATGATATGAGATGGATTTTGATGATTGAATTTTGTTAACTTTAGAGTTGGACTTTACAGTAAGTACATCTTTTAAAGCCACACGACACGAGGGCATTTTTATTATTATAAGAAATTTGGACACCGCCTCTTACTCGGCCTGTCTAACGTGAACTAAAGACAAGAACATCTAATTGGGACGTTTTGGTGGCTCTTCGGGCGCATTTACAACATATGAACGAATGAATATTCTTTATTGCACACACCATGGTAAAAAAGAATACATTAAAAATAACAATAGGCTACTTAACTCGTATCAAATTTGACCCTCTAAATAAGTATTTCATGCAGTATTAGATATACAAAACCGAAATATATTGACAAATAAAAGTACAAGATGACAGTACAATTTCAATTCAGAATCTCTACTTTAATTTTTTGCTCCAAACGCTGAAAACGCTTGCGGCCATCATGTGACGTCAATGTTAACATTAAATCAATAAAATGTTAAAAAAAATTAAATACTTATCATTAGAATAAAGAAACTAAAATTACCAGTTATATGGTAAACATATACGACGACAGTTATCATCCTTTTCTATCAAAAAATGCTAAGCATATCAAAAATATGCTTTATAAGTAAATAACTGGTTACTAATGACTTTATTATATTTTAAGACTCAGTTGTAAGTTTTTTTTTTTAAATCTTGACTAAGACAAAATATTCACTTTCATAGTTTAGGGCGAAACAATTTAAAATATTACATTATAGGTCTTAGCCTGGCGCCAACCAATGCAGCTAACACTTTCAAATTATATTTTTTGTTCAAATAAGTAGTCCCGTGTAGTTTTTTTTTTCAAAGATGTAGATAAAATTTTACTCTTAAAAATATTCTCAAGAAATTTACCTCCTAAAAAACTTCCATTGTCCACTTTTTTCCCTAAATTTAGGAAGAAAATTCCTAAGTTGGCAAGTAAGGTTATTTTAAACGTTTACAATACAAATGACGTCACAACACAGATAATCTATAGACTAACATGGCGGACGCCGTTTTAGTAATATTTTTTTTACCTAATCAAAGGCTGATTAATCATTTGAGACCTATTCTAACAAAAGAGTCAAGTAGCCAAAGTTAAAGTACAATGGGTGTACAATGGGTGGCCTTATTACTCAAAGCAATTTCTTCCTGGCAACTTTTGGATGGACATATGAAAACAGTATTATAAAGTTATGGGTAAAATTCCACTAACATATATGTAGTTTAAAATATCATTGATTGGGAATATTACTGTCATTAGAATATAAATAATTTATGTATGCAAATTTTTCGGAAGACTGAAAAAATTTTAATAGACAAACTTTAATTGTTCATAAAAGTATTCATCATCATCATCATCATCATCATCATTTCAGCCTGTTTGAGTCCACTGCTGAACATAGGCCTCCCCCATAGACTGCCATGAAGTACGATCCTGAGGCACCTACATCCATCGACTTCCCGCACATTTGCACAGGTCGTCACTCCATCTAGTGGGGGGTCGTCCTACACTGCGATGGCCAGTACGAGGCTGCCACTCGAGAACCTTTCTTCCCCAACGGTTATCGGTTCTACGAGCTATATGGCCGGCCCATCGCCACTTCAGCTTGCTAATCCTCTGAGCTATGTCGGTTATCTTAGTTCTACTGCGGATGTCTTCGTTACGAACTCTATCACGCAGAGAAATACCGAGCATAGCCCGCTCCATAGCTCGCTGAGTGACTTTGAGCTTCCTCATACGGCCAGCAGTGAAGGACCACGTCTCGGTTCCGTAGGTCATCACTGGCAACACACATTGATTGAAGAGTTTAGTCTTCAAACATTGAGGTATATTCGACGAGAAGATTTACCGAAGTGTCCCGAACGCTGCCCATCCGAGTTGGATTCGTCGATTGACCTCTACGTCGAAGTTGGACTTACCTAGCCGGACTAACTGTCCTAGGTAAACGTACTCGTCAACAACTTCGAGCTCAGTGCTCCCAACAACAACCGGTATAGGCGCGACATGGACATTAGACATGATCTTCGTCTTGTCCATGTTCATCTTAAAGCCCACCCGTTGGGAGACACTGTTGAGGTCATTGAGCAGCACCCAGGTCCTCCAGCGATTCTGCCATGATGACTATATCGTCGGCAAATCGAAGGTGGGTGATGTATTCGCCATTGATGTTAATACCTCGTCCTTTCCAGTCCAGAAGCTTGAAAACATCTTCCAACGCAGCGGTGAAGAGTTTCGGGGATATGACATCACCCTGTCTTACACCCTTCTGCAGTTGGATAGGTTTTGTACTATTGGACTGTACTTGGACGGACATCGTAGCCTTGTTATACAAACACCGCAGCACTTCGATATACCGACAGTCAATTTGGCACCGCTGAAGAGCCTGGAGTACCACCCAAATTTCGACAGAATCGAAGGCTTTCTCATAGTCCACATACGCTAGGCACAAAGGCAGATTATACTCTTCGGTCTTCTGTATAATCTGCCGCAAGGTGTGTATGTCGTCTATGGTACTGAAGCCTTTTCGGAATCCGGCTTGTTCCGGAGGCTGGAAGTCGTCGAGTCTGGAAGCGAGACGATTCAATATGACTCTTGAAAGAGCACATAGACGCGGCTCAGAAGGGATATCGGTCTATAGTTCTTCAAGAGAGCGTTATCGCCTTTCTTGAAGAACAGCACCACCACACTTCTGCTCCACACCTCTGGTGTAGCACCACCCTGAAGGACGGAATTAAAGAGCCTCTGAAAGACTACAAGTACCGGTTCTCATAAAATATGTATGTTCATAAAAGTATTAAAGAATTATAAAAATTATTGAGAATATTGTTACATATTTTTAATCAATAAAAATAGTAAGTAAATATATATTGCATTTAATGCAGCTTTGTTTAATAATAGATTTAAGAGATATTGTAATTCCAATACTTATTAGTAACAGGCAACACTTGTAATCAATACTTCAGTTCTTTTAGAAAATTGTGACCATGGCGGTAGGTTGTTTAATATTAACCCGAATATGAAATCGATGATAATCTAGAAACTGCAAATAAATCTACCTTTTAATTATAGTGCTAATTGTGAAACACTTTATTTTCTAATTTGTGTTTCACTTATTTTCGGTGTTATATTTTGTATATATGGTGTTGTGTTGTTATAACCTAAATTAAGTTAAATATTTAAAACCTGAGTTTTATGTTTCCAATTGTTATTAATGTTTTAATTAATGGTTTTCAGCGTCTTCCACCGCCCACACTCAAAACGAATAAGAAAGATAAGAAACCGCCTAAAGATAACTCCAAAAATGTTATGCGGAATCTTCACATCAGAAAATTGTGTCTGAACATCTGTGTAGGAGAATCTGGTGACAGATTAACACGTGCTGCTAAGGTATATTTCATTATTTAATTTCATATTATTGCTTGAACTACCTGTGATTGTTTTGTTCATGTTTGTGATATACATTGAAAGTTCATTTCACTTCATAAATACAAAACGTCATGCATAAATAAAATTGTTTTGGTACACTGGTAAACAGCCATTGTTACCTTTCAAATTTATGCTATAGCAGTATTTATTTGCAACTTCTGGGAACTGGTCATGACACTTTTCAGATTACTAAAGTAAATGACATGGACTCTTTCTTTTAATAACTGTTGTCACTACATCTAGCCAAATTTTCTTAAATTTTATATCTGGTATATGTATTTTATATATTGATATGTTAACGTTGGATATTTTATGCAATATATTGTATTTTAGGTGTTGGAACAGCTTACTGGCCAACAGCCTGTCTTTTCTAAGGCAAGGTACACTGTAAGGTCTTTTGGTATCCGTCGTAATGAGAAGATTGCTGTACATTGCACAGTTCGTGGAGCCAAGGCTGAAGAGATCCTTGAAAGGGGTTTGAAAGTAAGGGTGCCATAATTTACATCATAATACAAAAAAATAATAAGCATATTAATATTACATACAATAACATCAATACTCTCTTATAAGGTATTGAGGTATCATAAGTAAGGAGTGTTAACTATATTGTTCAGCATGAAAAGTTCAAGGATCACTACTTCATTGTGTTTTCCTTTGTAAATTCATGCGACATTAATATTTTTTTTGCAACTTTTGAGCATTATGTATTACTGTTCAAAGTACTAAAAAAAATAACATTGTTTAATATTTCACTGTTTTCTATCAAGTTAAGATAATTGAAAAAGATAAGGTGTGACCAGGGCTACCATTTTGTTGTTAATGAATTATCTATTATACCATGTAGAAATGCGCAAAAAAGTGATGTGATGTTTATACATCACTCATCAAAGTAATATTACTCAAAAGCATTACGCATTACTTATCACACAGTAGGTCTATACTGTGATGTGATGATAATGTTGCGATTTCATTACAACATACTGGACATTAATACAGCATATTAATATTTTAATTTCATTACAATTACGTACTAGATTAAAGCGTATTCTGATTTAATTTAAGTGTATATTGAAAATGGTGTTAATTTCTAAAATAATTTTTTTGTTTATAGTTATTGCGTGTTGAATTTAATTATAATAATTAAACGTAATATACAAAATAGCTTAGTTAAATATACAGAAGGGCAAAGGCGAAGACAAAAGCTAATAGCAATAAAAATTTATTTGTGAATGATTGTCACCTACGTAAAGAAATTAACCTTGAACTATTTAAAGACAAATTTGAAAATATTGTCCAAACTTAATTTCAACCTTAATTGCATGCAATATTAGCTTATTTTTAACAGCATAAAATTCGTATTAGCGTGGGGAATGCACACATTTTGTCGTAAAAAATCTTATTTATATTACGTTAAGGTCGCGATTGTATTGAAAGTAATGTAAAATATTATCCGCATAGGGCGTAGGCGCGTAGTGTGATTGTGATGCCGTGGCGCACGATCATCTCGCACACACATATTACATCCTTTTCGCATTCGGCGATCGCGGAACGCGAAGTAATGCATCACAAATAATGATACTCGCCATACTCGCGTAATGGGTAATGCAGTATGACATAGCTAAGTAATATTACTCGAGTGATATCATAGGCATTATTTACACATCTCTAATACCACGCTATTCTGGTTTATTCTCCTAAATTTAAAAAAAACTGTGTTTAAACTTTACCCATTAATTCTTTAGTGGCCAAATATTAAAGTTATGATGAAAAATGTTTTTATATAAGTCATATTTAACACCTTAGTTTAAAAAAAAAAGTAAATGTAAGCCTGTACTTGTCCCACTGCTAGAGCAAATGCCTCTTCTGTACACATGGTATCAGGCCATAGATCATGGTACTGTGGATTGGCACTTATCGATTTGAAATATTATAATATATAATTTATGAATTAGTTATTATTTTAAAATTATGCAGGTTTCCTCACAATGTTTTCCTTCATCGCTGAGCATGTGATAAGTCAGCACTAAAAATTAAAATTTCATTGCTACAGGCACTGGTGATCAAACTCAGGTTGCTTGTATATGTTGAATATCTTAATGTGTTTACATGTATTTGTGTTATTTTTATTTGTAATTGGTATATTTTTTATTATTATTACAGGTTAGAGAATATGAATTAAGGCGTGACAATTTCTCAGCTACTGGTAACTTTGGCTTTGGTATTCAAGAACACATTGACTTGGGTATCAAATATGATCCTTCTATTGGTATCTATGGTCTTGACTTCTATGTCGTCTTAGGAAGGCCAGGTATGTTTTATTTTCCTTCCAAAATTCTCACAAAGTATTTTTTTTACTCAGTGTGCTGTATGGTTTTTTAGCTGCCTTAAGGTATGTTTGTATATATATGTTATGTGTTATTATGAAATGTTCTGAATGTTTTTTTTGTAAAATTTAGTCCAAGGTATGACTATTGCACTTTACAAAAATAGTCTTTTGCAAAAATATTTAAATCTAAAAAATAGCAGATGTTATGTTAGCTTACATAACTTTCAAATGAAAAAGTATTGTCTCCAATTTCACCAATTGTGTATTTATATGCCAGATAACCTGTTCATACTTTTGTCTAAAAAATTTAAAGATATCTTGGTGCATCAAATTGTAGAATAAATTGTCAAGCACATTTGTTCAAGAGTGGAATGATGTAAACATTCACTCTGTAATGCATGTGCAATATTAAACTTACCTCAATTGGATATTCACTTGTGTGTTATTATTACTGAGGCAAGGTACAGAATTAAGTTGTGCTTTAAAAAGATAACCCCCCTTGAGTATTTTTTTTTTATATTTAGAATGTGGGATTCATTATTTGCATTAGCTATGGTTTGACTGCAAAACTTTAAAACAACATAACTACACATTGAAATGTGTATTAAGCATGGCCACTTTTTTATTATATTTGTTTTGTTTCTAGGTTTCAATGTAGCGCATAGAAGACGCAAGACTGGTAAGGTTGGATTTCCTCATCGTCTAACAAAGGAGGATGCTATGAAGTGGTTCCAACAGAAATACGATGGTATCATTCTTAACAGCAAAAAGTAAAATAAGTAATAAAAATTTCTAAGGATTCATCTTGTTTTATTTTCATTTATGTTAAATAATCAAATAAGATAAATGACTGACCAACAATTGATTGTTTAATGCAGTTAACTGAGAGGTTTATCATAATTTATGTTATTAATTTAGTTAGAAAAATACAAAACTATGAGATTTACAAGAGCCGTGATAGCTCAGTGGCCGGGCGCTCGCCTTTAATTCAATATACTCGAGCAACCCGAGTTCGATCCCCGGTGCCGGCACCAATGAAATTTTTAACTTTAAGTGCTGACTTATCACGTGCTCCGCGGTGAAGGAAAACATCGTGAGGAAACCTGCATATTTTCGAAATAATAACAAAAAAATATATATATTTCGAAAATATGTGAAGTCCGCCAATCCGCAGTGGGGCCGCGTGGTGGACTATGCCCTGATACCCTCTGTATAGAGGAGGCCTTTGCCCAGCAGTGGAACATGTATAGGCTGTTACTTTGGTTTTCTTTACTTTTATGAGATTTACCATGCAGGATTTTTGAAAAGTAAATCCCAAGTGAGAAATAGTTTTTCAAACAGGACTAATGATAATTACAATCTTCAAAAAAATAAAAGGTTCCCAATTCATTTAAATATAATTTTGTTTGTTCCCTCCACAACTCAATCATTAAGAATTGAAATTATTTTTGTCTATTTTGGCTTAGCTCTCATATGAAATTTATGTAGAATTGTACATCTAATTAAGAAACAATTAGTGACCCGCCCCATTTTCGCGTCCGTTGCGTAGTTTTCAGATATATAAAAATACTCTTTGGTAGTTTTAAAGATCTAAGGATACATACAAAGAGAATGTAATCACTACGTTTATATTGGATACATAGGGACACTGACAGCTGGACAACTTTGTTTTATGTGAGTGTGTAGATTACCTAACTAAATTTCAATTAAAAGTTTTATGATAATATTCATAATTTGTCTAAACCCAATATGGATGGTAATCAAATAACCATATCAAACATTTTATGTCCCTAAAAACTCTCATAAAAGTGAAAGTATGTTAAAAATTAAATATGTTTTACCTATGAACGAGTATTTCAGATATATAAAAGTACTCATTGGAGTATACCAATTCTTGTACTGTATAATGATGTATGTTCCAAACAAAAAAACATCAATGTATCGCTTTTTATAAAATATCAATATTGAGCTCCAAAATCTCAAGCGAAAAATATCGGTCAAAATTTCCGATTTGAAATAATAACCAAATGTGATACAATTTTAGACAAAATTAGGAAGTATAAAAACTAAATAACAATCTTATATTTTTAAGACCAATTGGTTATTTCAGGCAAACCGTCAGGTATTTGTTCAGTAACAAGTAGTAAAACTCGTCTATTCACAGTCATGCTCCGGTGTCAGCCGGCTCCTATTATTAGGGTAACCGGTAGATTTACGGCAGAAACAACTCTTTGAAGGTACAGAGGACACACCTACGGCTTTGTGCCAGATTTGAAATTGAAGAAAATATCGTTTTTGATTCGATAGTGAATCATTTGTACCGATGTATTGGCTCAATATAACTGCAACTGTTATAGCCACGCACGAATGGGCAGGTCCGTCCGGATAAGTACCACGACCCCAGAAGAACGGTCTGAAGTGGAAGTGTTCTGCGTTTCGTCTAGTGAGTGAGGTAACCGAGGCCCGTTTTTTTGAAAGGTAGGCAACGTATTTACAACCTAACGGGTGTCGCAAATTTCCATGGGCGACGGTTATCGCTTAATATCAGGTGAATCGCCAGCTCGCTTGCATTCTTACATAAAAAAAATCGAAATATCAATATTTTTTCAACAAGCTTAAAATAAGTGTGTAGCAAAAGCAATATAATATAGATACATACAATATGTATATCGACTATTAACTGAGGTTACAGCTGTGATTACAGGTAACTATGACAACAATAAATATTCTATCTAGCATTTCATATTTTTTACGTGTTTACTGATGGTTATTATTGTGTAAATACCGAAATGGCTGCAAAATTTGATGGATTTGATGATGAGGAAGATGATGTTTTGGCTCCTAAGGAACCACAAGTAACCTCTCAGGACCCGAATGAACGCAAAGCGGGAAGAGCCTTGCGTATAAAAAGGCGACAAGATGCTCTTAAAAGGTAATGCTAAATTTATGACTCATAAAAGTAGTGTATACTATAATATAATTAAAACATTAAAACCGTAATATGTTAAATATTCAATTAAAACATAATTAAATATTTAACATATTACGATAAACGCCTGGTAACCATAGGGTAATCACACCCAGATGTTTTCAGATGAATACTCAACCAATTGGGCGATGTTCCATTTGTAAACTAAAGGTGTTCTTTCTTTGAGTTTTCTGATAGCAAGCCGTTTATCTATAGTCTATTTTTAAATTTACGCCTTTTAAGAGCCGAACAGACTACAGATGAAACTAGCACAGAGGAAGAACCAGGGCCCATTGAGCACGCAACGGCTACCGCAGCTGAGGAACTTCAGCGATTATCGCTCGAAGGTGCTGCTAAGGTCACAAATGTGAAGGTCACGACAGACGAGCGCGAGGTTAATCGCCGTGAATTATTCTCCGAAAAAATGAGAAGTAAGTTTTTTCTGTAATAAATTTCCATTGAAAAACCCAGTGTTTTAATTGTTGTTTACGCCAACCGCGATAAACAATACCAATATTCGTGCCCGTCGTAGTAAGTACATACATGTATTAAGGTTTCAAGTTTCTTATTTACTTTAATAGAGAGAAGCATTATTAGGGAAATGGTGTATTTTATTATTTACTAGGGTAAACCTTAGTAACTTACCGATGACATATCTGTTCTGATTCCTAAGTTAGAATATACAAGCGAAACATTAACAATTATTTTGTTGTTATAATAAGTTGCACTCGAAAAGATTGAAAACGAAGCAGCGGAAGCGCAGATACAATATGATGCTATTTCGGCACATTGGGAGGCGATGTTGAAAATCAAGGACCCTTTGGATATTGATGTCGAAATCAACAATCAGAGAAAGAAATGTGAAGCGTTATTGGAACAGAAAAACCAACTTATCGATGAATTAAAGCAAGAGTTAAAACGAACAGATGACGCTTACTACGAGGATTTGGATAAACAAGTAAGAATTGATATAAGAATGAAAATTACTGGTTTATACTAAACTTGTTTATTTTCAATTGTAGCGTAATAAATAACCAGATATACGGATACAATTGTTCATTTCAGTCCAGATAAATACGATTTGCCGTAGTTAGACTACACTTGATATAGATTTAGTTTTATTTATGTATTTTAAATGAAGTAGGTGTCAAAGTGGTATAGAGAAACAACTTGGTGTTAACTATTTACATTTGGTTCTTTTAGGATAAAGAGATAAAGGAGTTATCGGATCGTATCGAGAAACAAGTGACAATAATGCAAAGGGCTTACGAAAAACAATTGTCCCTTATAGAGCAAGCAATAGATATTGAACGTGAAGCTATGGTAGATCATAATAACAAACGATGGGAAGCTCTTTACAAACAAAGGGACAAAGAAGAAGTTGCGCACATGGAGTATAAATTTGAACAGGTTTACCACAAACCCATTTCTTAGTTCTTACAGTTTTGTTATATTATTAATATGCACTTTGTTTTAAGTCGTTAGGTTTCATATACTTAAATAAAATTTCTCACTTTTTAATATCAAATATTCATAATTTTAAGTTTAATTATTTTGATACTGCAGCTAGAAGAACATAAGCAGGAAGTGGAAGTGATTATGTGGGATCACCATACAAAATATCGTGAGACGAAAATTGAGCTTGAATCTCTTATTCAAGAATTACAAAAAGAGTTGGAAAAGTTAAAGACGACATGTCTGATAAACACGGAGAAGATTGGTTACAACTATCAAGTTCGTTCTACAAGTTCAAGTTTGTCAATGTTCTTTGGAACAAATTCAATTTTAGGCTTTCCGTTTGGACGATGTTTTACTATTTCACTACTTTTACGGTGGTAGGGCCACGCAGCAGCCTCGGCTGTTGCACGAATGGGCAGGCCTGTCCGGGTAAGTACCACGACCTCACAGAAGACCAGCGTAAAGTGACAGTATGACAAATACTTTCGCGTTTCGTCTGGTGAGTGAGGTAGCCGGAGCCCAATTTTCAAAAGGTTGTCAACGCATCTGTAACCCTCGGGTGTGGTAGATGTCCATGGGCGGCGGTATTTACTTAACATCAGGTAAACCGTCTGCTCGTTTGACAACTTTTCGCATAAAAAAAAAAAAATTATTATCCCGTTACATCCCTTATGTCCATTATATATATATATATATATATATATATATATATATATATATATCAATTTTCATTTGAATAATTCATTGTTATGTTACATTACTTTGGACAAACATCACTACTGTAAAATAGTTTGAAAATAATTAAAATTCCCTGGAAAGATTATAAATGTAAGGCTGTCCCATAGGTATTGAAGAAAAGGGAAGAAGAAAATGTATTCGTAAGATCGCAACAGAAGCGAAGATTGAACAAAATGTCGGACGTTGCAAATAACTTGCGCGTCAAAATACGTAAAGCGGCAGAGGACGGTGCTATAGAAGAGATGAAAGCCGACGCGGAGATCATAAAATTGATGCAAACAATGGATGACTTAGAAAAGAAATCTCACCATTTCTCTCATGTGAACAATTATAAATTCAGTCAGGTGTGGCGAATGTCCGAATCACAATGTGTTCTACTATCACGTGATATAAGAAACGCAGAGGTTGCACTACATGCTCATATTTTGGCAGAACCGCCACCTCCCCCGCCACCTCGATTCCCAAAGAGTCCTCTGTCGAAATATGGTCAGTGATTTAGTTTCTCCTTGCTTTTAAAATATTCTACATTAAATAAGGATTAATAATATATAATTTATAATTGTACTTAGAAAACGAAGGATTATCTCCTTTCGAAGAAAACGACTGTGCGAGAGAGATCACCAATGAAGTAACTAAGGAAGCGAAAGATAGATTGGTAAAACTGGGTTTTTTCACACAAACTGCGGTTTTTTATAGTTCTTGTCGGAATTTAGATTTGAATTTCACAAATACTTCAGGTTAAGCACATACTTCAGCTAGTGGCGGATAATACAGGATTTTTAGTAGAGGATCGTTTGTTAAAGCTCATCGAAAAATACAAGACATCTTCGAGAAACTTATGTACGTTGGATTCTATTTTTATGGTAAGTATATGGATGATATATCTATTTTTATTATTTAAATACCACGTCTTTTTCGTAATAGATAATGTTTGTTTACTTCCTTTAGGCATTAGAAATCCAAGCTGAAAAAGATATCGAACTATTGTGTAAGACGTTTTTGAATTATGCATTTTGTTCAGTGTGCGTTGGAATGGAATTTGGAACCACGTCGGACTCTTTGGAACCATCATCTGCGGTTAGTATATCTCTGTTTAGTTCAATATTCGTTAGTTAATAAATGTACTTATAGTGCACATAAACTTTAATGCACCTCAAAAGTCCTTTCAAATCATTGAGAGAACCAATAATGTGCGCCTTGTGGTAAGGTCAGTGTCATTCTCTCGTTCGCGCTGTAGTTCCAAATAAGTAGCTGTCTGTCTGTTTTCGTTTTCATAAACATTGAAATATAATTAAATTGTCCCGCTGAGTTGTGTATAACTTAACTGTCGGTTTTAGGAAGACTGTGATCCGAGCATAACCAAAGTGACACGAGGTAAAATAACTTTATTTTTTTTTATTGCTAATATACGGTCGTAGGTATACGGTATTATTATGTACATAATCACGTTGGCTAAAACTACAATGAGAATGCTTCTGCTTCAGGAGAGAGATCAGCTACGAAAGTAAGAAGCAGCGTCATTGCTAGAAGTGTATCAGCAAGCACGTCGCGCTCCATTCATGTCGGATTTAAGTAATAGATTTATTTTTTTCTTTTGTTATATTTTTATGTCTCTTGTTATTTGTAGCCTTTGAAATTTTTCTAATATAACCATTGAAGAACCGGCATAAAAATCTGTGGTCAAAATGTTTTCTTTTATATCATGATTATTTTCAGTAAACCTTTTATCTTGAATTCTTTTACCTGAAATCGTCATTGAATTATTAGTATTTTTACCAAGTTTACCACAAGTACTCTATATCACAATTGACTTTTTTTGAGTCAACCATTAATTATGCATGTTCAGTTAATATATTATGAAATAAGTTTAAGTACAGCCTTAGTTTTACACAGGGGCCGTGAGCTATCACCAGACGAGCTGATGCTGATGGAGGAAGCCGATGAGATCATACAAAAGTGTGGCGACCCGCAAGGTAGTTCCACCATAAGTTACGTAAAGATCAGTATTAATAGGGAAAATTAAAAACAAAACAAAAGCGGTGAGGACAGAGGGTTCCGCATAAAGTTTTACATATTAACAATTTTCAGATTTTTTTGCTGTAATTTCACTGTGAAACTGTGTCGACCTATAAACATGAAATATATGTCATGTTTATAGGTCGACGAAAAGTATTCAATACTGAAAATCACCAATACAGTACTTAGAGACTACTTTTAATGTTTTGTTACGAAAGCAAATAAAAAAGGCTTTCGTAATTGTTCACCAACGTGTAGAACAACGAGAAAGAATCAAATTTGCCGTTCGAACAACAGGGTATACTCTTCCCTGCACTGCTATTTAATTTTATATAAACCGTGATATCTCAATTGCCGGGTGCTCGTTTTAATTCCATATTCTCCAGCAACTTTCCAGCAACAATGAAATTGTTAATGGCAATTCCGTGAAGTAAATATTTGCGAGTAGACCTGAATATTTTTGTTAATAATAATAAAAATCATTTCGAAGATATGTGAACTCTCCAATCCACTGCGGGGTCGCGCGGCGGACTGCTATAGTACTCTCTTTACCGTGGAGCTTATATGCTTGGCCTTTGCCAAGCATATATAGGCTGTTCCTACATATATAAGCTTTTACCTTATACATTGTTTAAATGCTGCGCAGTGACTTGACGAATCACAGAGCTGCATTAAGGTTATTGAGTAACGGTTTGGACGTATTTTTGTGACGCGTTTCGGTTAAGTAAGTTTTAACTAGTGATGTAACATTTGTTTTTCAGGTAGTTCAACGGCAACAGGGGTGACGTCAGACGCCGGGACGTCTGGCACCACGCGGCGTGCGGGAACACGTGGTGTCACCGTCTCCTCACTGCATACACTCGCCACAAACAAAGACAACCCTTTCCTGTGTCCAGGTACTTCTAATGACTCGGTAGCGCAGCTGAGAAGCTATTGGATTCGGCGCTGGAGGTCGTGGGTTCGATTCCGACGCGGAAGAGATAAATATCTCATCCGCGTGGGAATCGAACAAATATGTGAGCCACAGATAATTAGGATCTTAGCGTGTGTACAAGTGAAGTGTGTGAAAATGTCCTTACATTACAGTATTAATATCGGTGTTATGTAGTGGCATTGTTTTTTAAACGAGGAAAATTTTATTTTAAAAATATGTCAAACGAGCAGTTAGCCTGTTGCAATAACAGAACTGTCACAGATGTTGCCAACTTTTAACAACGCGAGATTTACCAACCGGAGCAGCTAGCTTTTCCACTGGACAAAATCCAATATTAATAACATCGCAAAGTATTAGTATATTTTATGCGATGCTAATCCAAAAACCATTGTGTGCTATATCACAGCGGTTTATGGTAACCCTAACCTGTGGCGGATTTGCCAGCAGGCAAAGTAGGCTATAGTTTAGGGCGGAAAGTCTCACCAAAGAAAAACGTCATTATATACACAGATAAAACGAGTCATGAAAATTTAACGTTGTGAGACTTTCATAACTTGATTCATTTTGTTGTCATTATTAACCGGATTGTTAACTGAAAATTGAACAAAAAAATGTAACACAGTTTACTAAATGTACATTATTCGTGTCATAATTAGAACATGATTAAGTTTTTTTAGCTCACAAATATACCCAACAACTATTTTTCGTCTAATCTTCACTAAATCGTCGGTTGTAAAAATAATCTATAATAAAAACGAAAGTCTTAATAAAAATAGAAATCTAGACATAACGAAACTCTATTGCGAAGTATGGTACCGAATTTCAGAGGTCAGTAGGGGCAGCAAAAATTTATCAGCCTATTTAATTGTAAAATCCGCCACTGACCCTACTATAAAACGAGTACTGGTAATATCAACTTAAAATTTTTATTTACAGCAGGACATTTCCTGGAGATCGAACCTATGCAAGTTCTGACGGCATTGAACGAATTTATGACCGTATTTGTTCCGCCGGATAAAAAGAAATTACATGATATACTGTAAGTACCTAAATGTTATTTTTTTAATTACAAACCGACTAGTTTTTACTAATGATAATGTTTGTTTCATTTGTTTATTTTCTAGGGAAAGTGTGAAGCCACCTGACTTCACCACTCCGTCTCGCAGATTAACATCAGAAGAGATTGCACAGTATTGGACTCAATGCAAAAATATATTTCCATCTGAAAAAGACCGCTTTTGGGACGGTTTATTGGCCGGCCTTAACAGTTACCTACCAATTTTGCAAGGTTGTTTCAAAAATGTTATTTTTTAATATAAATAGTTGTCAAGCCAACAGGCGGTTTCGTTTGGTTTGACATCAATAATATGGGCCCCGGCTAACTCACTTGCCACATGAAACGGGAAAGTGTAATACTACACGGTGGTCTTCTGTGAGGCCATGGTACTGCCCCGGCCAAGCCTGCCCCACAGCAGAAGCTGATATGTGGCCCTAACACTGTAATTTTTTTATAATCTTTAAGTTTTAATGATTAAAATGTTCTCAAATACTTAAACTAAAAGTATTCCCATATAGATACGATAGATGGCTTAATATCATGTTGAATTCCCATTAAATTACTTAAGTATATAAAAAGATAACACAGTGTATCATATACCAAATGGCGGTGAAATTGACCTTTGCTGTATAAACAGACATATTACTTTAAACATCTTTAACCATTGCATCTAACGAAGTGTGAATCTTATCATGTTTCGCCACTGGATTACCTGAAATTACTGTCTTGGAAACCTGGGGTATTAATAATATCTAAAAGCAAAGTACCTAATATTAGCTTGTAATGTATTATAAATGTAATCAATTATAATGTACTTTTGTACTATTACTATTCTACTTAGAACGCGATCGCCTTCACGACAGCGTGGCTGAATTGAGAATGCGTAACGCGGCGTTGCGTCGCCTAGTGCGAAACGCCCTTCCGGATCTCCCGTCAGTTGCGCGGCCGAAGAAGGAAAGGCGCGTTTTCACCGCTCCAATTCCAGATCTGGCACCATCTACGCTACCCCGCATATCATGAATACGTCAGCTAAACAAACATAAAATAAATGTCTTTCATAACAATATTTCTTTTAATTCTCTAAACTTGCTGTTTTCTTCATCATTTAAGCCTGCTTTAGTCCAATGCTGGAAAGGGATCACACACTGCTACGTGTTCCTTGACCACTGTTGAACACAATCATATGTTTAATGATTTTTGTAGAATTAAAATTAATGTAACAGGAAAGGCTGTAAACAGGCAGGTTTAACTGTGGTAGGGCCACGCAACAGTTTTGACTTTTGCACGAATGGGCAGATCCGTTCGGATAAGAAGAGAAGACCAGGGTGAAGGCTAAGTGTGCTTCTGCGTTTCATCTGGTGAGGTAGCCGCGACCCACTATAAAAAGGTGGCAACGCATCTGCAACCCTACGGATGTTGCAAATGTCCATGAGCGGCGGTTATCACTTAACATCGCATTCTCACATAAAAAAGGGAGTTCTGCAGATAGTGATTACCGTCCGCCGGTTGATTTAACAACCTGCGGTTGTAATTAAACGCTTCCCTCTAATGTGGCCCATCCCTACCAGGACTGGTTACCTCAATAGCGATGAAGCTGTCAAAGTCGCGGGGCTAACACTAAACCGGACTAATAACAAAAAAAAATTTTTTTGTTGCTCTAGTTTTAGTTAGGGATAGGAACTAATTTAACCAACAAATAAACGACGCGCAAGTTCATCATTTTAATTAAACCAAAGACTCTTAAGAATATAAGTTATTATTTAAATGATAACATAATCTAGAATTTAATTTCCATGCTCTTTCAAGTGGACTTTAGTAGGTCTAATGTAAACTAGTGTAAACATGTTTTTCACTGACCAAAAATTGTCCCGCTGAGTTACTTTCACTGGTTATTTTATAAGTTTTTTGTTTTTGTTTTCCGATGTAGTAGCAACAGAATTTTAGCAATCAATGAGAAGTGTAACCATTGGCGTATGTAGGGCTGTTTTTCAGGGTGGGCCTGGACCCTTACTACAAAAAAAAATCGAACACTGTAGAACTGTTAAACAACGCAACGAATTTTTAATGCGATTTTCAGCAATAGACATAATTCAAGTGGAAGGTTTACATGTAGTACCTAAGTAAAAGTAAAGTAACAGCCTATACATGTCCCACGGCTGGGCAAAGGCCTCCTCTATACAGAGGGTATTAGGGCATAGTCCACCACGCGGCCCCACTGCGGATTGGCGGACATCACATATTTTCGAAATATATTTTTTTTTGTATTATTTCGAAAATATTTCAGGTTTCCTCACGATGTTTTCCTTCACCGCGGAGCACGTGATAAGTCAGCACTTAAAGTTAAAAGCTTCATTGGTGCCGGCACCGGGGATCGAACTCAGGTTGCTCGAGTATATTGAATTAAATTAAAAAATTAGGTATAGGCTATATAGCTGTAGTACCTATATATATGCATATTATAGTTAGAGAAAATTCGAGAAATTCAGTATCTACATTGCACCTCGCTCGGCTTTAATTCTGCTTTTGGCGATGGAGGATAGGTGTCCATCCTAGAATTTCGAATCGGTAACCCAAAATCCTGGGGTGGGCATTAGACCATACTGGGGTGAGCACGGCTTACCCGGCCCCCCTGCTATATACGCCTATGAGTGTAACATTTGAAATTGAATAGAGATATTTGAATATGAAAAAGATTTAATGTCTTGGGGTTTTCTGCATACAGACTGTTCATTAGTTTTATTATTCAGACATTCAAACACTGTCAATGTCAAATTAGATTGTCACATTTATTTTAAATTTCGTGTCTCTCCCTTGTTGGGTCTTGAGTTATAAATATTGACTTACTGAATTTTTAATAAGTGGAACAATAGAAATTTTTATTTTCTAGAATTGATTTGACTTATGTTTCAAGCATAAGGAAGTAAGTTTAATCGTACTTACATTTAATCCAAACACATAAAACTTTCACTTTTGTTAATAAATTTCAATTAATTAAACTGTTTTTTTAGCTTCCACTTAATATAAGAAGATCGAGTTTTGTAAATTTACGAAAATGTTAAGATTAACATTCCATATCATTGGCGCCATCCAATTCTTTTATGGTTGCTACTATGATCATACGTTTGTGAAATTTCCAAGTAATTCTTCAACAACGACCCCCTTTGGTGGAAAGTTAAAATATTTAACTTTCCTTAATGCGGTAAGTGGCTTTCTTCTGTTTCTTCAAAAAAATATACCTTTCAAGATTATAATGTGAATAGTGCCAAGTATGTGGATACTGGAATATAATTATGAAATATTAATTACATAGAAGGAAAAAACTTTTAAAAAATAGGGAGTACATTTGTTGAATTATTATTGCTCCACAATGTCAGAATTTTCGATTACCTTTTATAAAGGTGGTAAATATTAGTTACAGTGTAAAATACACAAATATGCATTATAATATCAATGATATTTTATTCCAGATGATTCAAACTGTATACTTCACCATAGCAGCAATAAATGATGTATTTGGATCCAATGAACCAACACCATCCCATAAGCCTATGGTGAGACGCATCAAAGACACTATGTTCAGTGCCCTTGCATTTCCCCTGGCCTTATTTGTAGGTGTTACATTTTGGGGTCTGTATGCTGTTGATAGAGAATTAATTCTTCCTAAGGCTTTAGATCCATATTTTCCTGTGTGGTTGAACCATGTGATGCATTCAAATATTGTTTTATTTACACTAATTGAACTGTCTTCATGCTTTAGAATGTATCCTCATAGAAAAAATGGACTTACTATACTGTGCACTTTTATGTTGTGCTATGTTATTTGGGTTCATTACATCTATTTCCAAACTGGTAGTTGGGTGTATCCTATATTGGCTGTTCTTAACTGGCCGCTTAGAGTCATTTTCTATTTATTTAGCCTTGGATTCATTTGTACTTTTTACTCATTGGGTGAGAAGTTGAATAAGATTGTGTGGTCTAAAGAGGTTGAGTCGACTGTTAAATCAGGTAAGAAAAAGGCAAAATAATCTATTGCTTTAAATATCTGCAGATATATCTTTATGGTGCATATTATTAAAATGCTGCTCAAGATATCCAATAATTTCTAGATATTAAATGCAAATAAACTATGATATCGCATGGCAATAAAATTAAGATTTTAAAATAAAGTTAGGTATGAGTGTTGTCAAATTTGCATAATTAAAGCACGTATTTGTTAAATTTTCATAGTGATTGTATACTATATCTACATAGCAAACTTGTGAAATGTATTGGTTTTTATAATTATATCATAATTTTTTTTATCCAGAGTAAAGTTGTCTTATCATCATGTGGCACCGATATTTAGATAATATATATTTTATGTCATGTTTAAATGTTGTCTTTTTTACCAATTTAAAATATTCACAAGGTGTTGCCTTATATATCTAAAAATGTGCATTCCAAAAAGCAGCTATTTCTTAATTGTAATATTGTTTTCTAATCATAATCAATTTAATTGGTTTATCTTCATCAAATATTTATAATAAAATATGACCTTTGTGTCCAGTCTAATGTTAAATGAAAATTATTTACGTTACTGTACTGTACCTGGTTGTTAAATTCATTTTATTATTTATTGAGTACTTTTTATTTTGAAATGTATTGCTGGTTACATATTTTTTAATTTACATTAAAACTTAGTTTAAAGTACACTTACACGCGTCTAGGTAATTAAATCTTATAAACAAATAAATTTGTCTTCTATACAATAACATATTGACTGTTTGTTCATATTCTAAATGCAGAAAATTACCAAGCAACCCTAACCAAACAGTTCATTATACACAAGCTACACCCGCATTCCACAGTGGTCCTTGGTCCGCACCAAACCCCTATGACCCTTAGGAGACAACTTCTCTCTCACTAGGTAACATACGAACTTTGCATTAGATGAAGCTTTAATAGTCTATAGACCAAACCAAAAACATAATTCAATAAAAATATAGATGGTATTTAATCAAATACCATCTATATTTTACACATGTAAAACAGTTGAACTAATCAGTTCAACTGCTTTAAATGTGGCATTGTCATTTCTATTCAATATAATTGGAATTTTATTATAAAATGTGTTAAAACTTTTAAGTTTATATAGCCTTTACATACCTGTAAAAGTAAATGCGATATTTACCTTTAATTTGTGGTTTCCTATATATAAAGTGATTTAAACTACGTAATTTGTCGTAATTGCTTGTTAAAGCTAGTAAGCAATGTCATAATGTTATGCAATAAATATTTCTTAAGAACAATAATTTATCATGACTTCAAAGTGTTCAGGCATTGCACATTTGCCTTTAGCTTGTTATTGTAGCAATGTGATGTGAAGCAATAATTTTTGTAATAAATGGTGTGGCAAAAACTGTTTGTTTTAATTTTTAGCCTTGATATATATTTAATGTATAATAAGCTCATTTGTTATTGGGTGCGATTTACGTGCATCTTGGATTGGAATTGAATTATTTGACGAAAACGAGACTCGCTCATTAGAGCTCATTACAACACGCTGGTTGGGGTGTCATGTTAATAAATCCTTTTGTATACTCTGCATTACTACACAGCAGCTTCTATAGTTGTATGACTAAACATTCTCGTCCGAAGAATCACGGCACGTCGTCTCGTTTCACGGCTACACAGGATATCCGCTTTACTATGCACCAGTTCATTTACTATTAATCTACTGAATACAGCAACCGGGGAAAAGAGTTTATATAACATTTTATAATGCAAAATTAATTTGCTATGATGCTACAAGTTAAGAAGGGTTTTGCATGAAATACGAAATTTAGTTAACACGGTGAATCGCCTGCTCGCTTGCTACTTTGTCGCATTTGGATTTACAAAATCTTAATCTTATTATAAAGTACATTGGAAGCTATGAACAAAATGTAAGATTTTAACTCTAACTATCTTAGTTAAAATATTTGTGAATCTGTTTTAGTTGAAAATGAAAGATCTTGTAAAAACAACCTACATTTATTTGAATTAATACAAATGTTACAAAATAATACTCCAAATAAAATATTTCTCGAGCGGTAAGTACCCGCTTTCGCGTTACACTTATAATCACAGTATAAATGGACATAAAACTCGAGTGTCAATGTCGTGATCAAAAGTTTGAGACTATATTACCGTTAGGTATCACATTTTCCCTCGATGGACACAAGGTCAAATCAATAAAATCCATATTAGTCATAACACATTAACAAAATATTTATTTGGTACGACTAGATAAAATAACCATATACTAAAGCATATTGTAAGGGATAAGCAGTTTTTATACATAAAATAATATACAAGTACTATCTCATCTATTAACTCGTCATGTGGCAGAAAAAGCTACTAATGACAATTTTTCACCGGACTTGATAATTGCCCCAAATTCTTAGTGATGACTTGTACGTAAAATGTCCAAAAAATCTACACAAACTTGCAAACTGATGTAGTGAATTTAAACCAACGACCGGTCAATGTACGCAGTTCCTAAACTAAACTATCAATATGGTTATAACAATTTAATTTATGAAACGAAATTGTGCCAAAACTGTTAACATCATTTTAAGACAGAAACTTGAAATACGCGAGTATTACAGGTTTCTGTCTAAAAATTATATTTAACTTGAATAATAGTGAAAACACAAATTGGTTTTATAAAAGTACAATATTAAGCTGAAACTGCTTTTTTTTAAATGAAAAGTTAAAAAAATTTGCAATATTAACAATAAATTTGAATTATACTATGTGATTCGCCCTTTCGTTTCTTGCCTTAACCATATTTTAATTGCGTAAACACTATTATAGACCATTACAATTTTGCGTAAACTATAACTAGCTGAACGCAGCCACGCTTAGCTGTGGTTTTTTTTTTTATTCTGTTGGAACCAATGCCTCTTTCAACAGGACTAACAACTCAACTACAAATGTCTAATAGTAAATGTCGTTTGTAGCGTCGACTATTCTAGCATTATATAAACTGAACCAGATAAATACTTACTCCTAGTAAAGGTTTGTCTTGTACAGGCTGTATTATTTATAATTGATAAAATAATTGTTATATCTGCAAATGTATTTTATAACTATACCCACTTGTGTGTGATTAATAAGTTTATAACATTAATAGTAAATTTGTTAAATTATAAATATTGATAAGGCATGAAGAAGACAAGTATATCATAGATTGGTCTTTATAAAAGTCAAAACATGTTCTAATTTAAGCCTAAAATTCATTCATCAATTGTTTCTCATTAAGAGTATGCTGCAAATCTAATGTTCACTATATCTTACAGCGTCAATTCCCATGAAATAGCTGTTATTATTTTTATAAAAGTGTACTTTCTATTAAAATTTACAAAAGCAACACATGATTAAATACTAAATATTGGCGTACTAAATGTTAAACGTTCTAGCATGTCATTGTCTATCTATTAAGATTCGCGTTTAAAATACTGTCAATTATAAATATCATGTATATCAAATAAGGTATTAAAAATGTAAAATGAAAATTATATTACAATAAGCATTTAGAAGATGTAAAATAATGTTTTAATAACCTTTCTTACCTTTATAACCTTTCTTTCGCCTGTAATAATTTATTTGTATTAAATATTCGTTTTCATTTTAATCGTTTGTGCATCGTCGCTTAATTTACATTATAATGTAAGTACTATGAAAATGGCGAACACGGGCATGCCACGCATGTAATTTTATTTTTAAAGTACCATATTTTTATTTATATTGTAAGCGGACGAGACTGTTGACTTAAATGAAATTTGGGTAGCCAATTCCTATGTATAATGTTACCTTCAATTTTTTCAGATTTGTAAAAAAATACTATTACCTCGTAACAAACGGAATACTACACTGTACGATGTCGGTGTAAGTGGCTTGCGTTTGTGACCGGATGAGCTATGTTTTTACTTTCCTAGAACCTTTCAGACCATTTTTCTTCCATCCGTTCCCAACTTGCGCCTCGCCGTTTGAGCCGCGATTCGAAAAAGACGTGAATTTCGTCTTCGACTCATATAGCACGTCTGACTCCGTTTCAGTATCTGACACATCTTTGCTGGTGACTGAAATTAAAATAGGTCATACTTTAAAACGTTAGCAGAGCTTGCATTGCTGTTCTTTCAGAGTGTACTGAATTCAAAGATTAAATTGATATTGGAATTCTGGAAAGTAAACTTCTTCTCTAGTGTAGAGCAGAAAATGGTGATAGCTGTGGCGCGTACGGTAGAATGATACTCATCCAGGGCTCCCCGCAATGAAGCGGATTAAAGTATGGCGCTTATCATATATCAGGGGTGGTCAAACTCTTCGATAGTCGAGCTGCAATTAAATACGTATTTAAAAGATATTAGTTTTTTTTACAGAAATTAAATTTATTGAAAATTTATAAATACAAGTACAAAATATGTGTATTGAATTTAAATATTAAAAATTAAACGCATTTTTACTTCTCTTGATAATTCTTTACAATTAGTGACAGCACTTCTCAGCAATTCTTTGGGATGCTGCTTATTTAATTCTGATCAGTTATTGGATTTCACGAATTTTAAAGTAGAAAAAATGATTCACCTCACAGGGGACCGAAGAGCTGGCAGCTAGCTCGGACAAAGAATTAGTCTAGCTATTCAAAGGGGGAACGCTAGCAGTATCTTCGGAACCTTGCCTAAAGGGACTCCTTTTAATAATATCTTTTTGTTATTATATTATATATTTTCCCTTTTTAATTCAGGATACTTCGATTCTGGTACAAATTTCCAAAATTCATTAATCAACAGACATCAACGTACATTTTAATTGTAGAGCTTGATCTTTTTGCATCTCTATTAATTCTTACTATCCAGATGCTGTGTGGGTAATAATTATATTGGAAATGGAAAACTCACCTTGAATTATATTAATTTCGAATGGATTCAGAACAGAACGATTAAAATTATCTCAATCTATGGTTCAATCTAACGTTATCGAGTGTCACAAATATTATCCTTCAAAGGGCCGCATGTGGCTGGCGAGCCGCAGGTTGGCCACCCCTGTCATATATGTTAGTGGGTCGCTTTTTTTTAAATTTTCAAACTTTTGAAAGCGATGGTGACAACTTGAAACATCTAATATCGCAACTAACATTACAAAAAAAAATTTATGGTTAATCTTCGCGACGGCGGCTCACATAGCTAGTCCTCGTCGAAACGAGTCGAACGACGGTGACAGCGAATTGAAACATCTACCATCTCAGAGGGAGCTGCGCTTGAACAGTTCCGCGGCCGTTTGTCTTACAAACAACAATTGACTGTTAATCAGCGCGAAGGCGGCTCACATGGCTTGTCCTCGTCGGCGCGCGGCAGCAGCCGGTAGTGGGGGCGCGCGCGCTGCCGCCGCGGGGCGCACAGGCGGCGCACGAGGCGAGCGGCGCCCGCGCACGCGCCGCCCACCGCGCACAGCGCCAGCACTGCGCCCAGGCTCGCGTACACCACCGACCAGTCTGCGGCCGACATATAAATACATATTTACATATTCGTCGTCGATACTCATATCTACAGTATATTACTCGTTCGATATACATATTTACAGATTCGTCGAGCAACAAACTATGGAAGCTGGATAACCGGTAAGCGTAATTAAACGTACTTTTTGTAAATAAATACGTATAATAGCTATGTACCTACATAGTAGAAAATTTATGGCGTTGTGTTGTTTTTGTCTTCTGCAGCTAAATATTTAATTTAGTCAAGAGCCAAGGGGTGAAGGCCGCAAGTAAAAGTTACTATCATATTTATAAGTATACGTAAATAATGCCTTACTTAAAATATGGAGATAAATTGTAAAAACATTCGCTTTCCTGGTTACGCATCCAGACTCTATTAACCGCTAAACTAAGCGATCGGTGTCCTTAGCGCGTGAAAATATCAACGTCTTGTATCATTCTTTTAATGCATATTTTAGCAATGGAGAATGGATTATTATAATCCGCTATCATTACAGCGGTTGCGCGCTTCACCCGGAAGTGGAGAGATGGTCAAAAAGAAAAAAAAAATCGCTGATCGGCGCAATATCTCATCGCCCGTCGGCGCGCGGGGCGGGATGCGATCACGCACCGCAGTCCGGCATCGCGTCCGGGTCGAGCTGCGTGAGCAGGCTCTGCATCCAGAAGGCGTCGCAGCGGCACGCGCGCGTCGCCCGGTCGCACGTGCCGCGCCCCGAGCACGCGCTCAGGCAGCGCAGCGAGCGCACGCGCGCCACGCCCGCGCCGCGCGTCACGCCCGTCGCGCGCGCCGCGCCCAGCGCCCGCACGCCCTCCACGGCCGCGCCCTGCCCACGGATATCGCACCTTAAGCGCACGCATTAGAGGCGCTTTCCGCTTGCACGCAGACGTGCGGACGGATGAAAACCTTAAATACACGACTTAAAGGTGCTTTCGGCTTGCACGAAGACGTGCGAACGGATGTCGACCTTAAGCGCACGTCTTAGAGGTGCTTCGGGCTAGCAAGCAGACGTGCGAACAGATTTTGACCTTAAGCGCACGCTTTAGAGGTGCTTTCGGCATGCACGCAGATGTGCGTACGGATGTCAACTTTTGCACACGCCTTAGAGGCGCTTTCGGCTTACACGCAGACGTGCGAACGGATGTCGACTTTTGCGCGAGCCTTAGAGGCACTTTCGGCGTGCACACAGGTTTCCGGACTGATGTCGACTTTGAACGCACGTTTAGTTTTGCTTTCAGATTGTATACACAGGTGTACGAACGCATGTCAACTTTGAAGGGACAGATTGCTCACAGGTATGCGAAGGGATTTTAGGTTAATGACATCTTGTTAACTGAAGTCGAGCTTTTAGTCTGGAAACTATATACAGCTTCTTCTAATACCTATTCTGTGAAAAAGCTATTTTAAACGAATTGAATGTTATTAATGTCATCAAGTTTCAATCGCTTTTTTTCTCAGGGGAAGAGAGACTGTGCTGTACATTTTTTTTTAATAGATATACTTTTTGATTTACAAAGCTCACCTTTTCGGACAGGAAGAATATTATCTGCGTATTCCCCGAGTCGACCTCGCCGCGAATCTCGGTGACGTTCACTTTGATGTCGTCCTTCAGGAGCAGCGTCATCTTCTGCACGAGAGCGTCCAGCTGGCTCTTCGTGAAGGTCGATACGGGCGTGTGCAGCGTCATCTCGAGTAGGTTCATTTCCAGCGGGTCCGGTTTGACCTGCACGCTCACGGTGTCCCTATCGGTTTCGCCCTGGTCGTCCGTCACCGTCAACTCGAACACGTATCTACCCGACTCTATGTTTGTGAGCTGAAAAACACGATATTATTTAGTGTACACCGATTCAGCCAATTGCTTTTCGTGGTTTTGTAAAGCTGTCATAGGATTTGAATAGTTGTCCTAAGCTATTAGCAATATTTGTCGAACTAAAATTCTGTGACAACAGATGGCCTTTCAGAATTATTTGTTTCAACTGTCAATTCCAATGGCATTCGTGGTTCGTAGTACAAAAATGATATACTAAAATAACTAAATACTTATTTTATATATATATATACAGCGTGTCGTTACCAACGCGACAATAAATGAACACACATGAAGAGGATAACTTTTTAAAATTGTATCAAAAATTTACAATCTTTAAACATCAATATTTACAGAGTTATTAAATTTTCCATAACAAAGAATTTTAGAAGACCCTTACGTATAAAACTGTAACGGAAAGTTCATTTGTACAGGTCACAAAGCATATGAATGGGTTGAATGAATTTAAAAGAGACATACTGTTAGAAGGAGAGGCTTGTAATGGGACGCCGTGGCAACGAATGAAAGTCTCTGAATGTATGAATCAGTTGTAATTGTATAGGATGTTACAAATTTTGTTTATTTTTTACTTAATTAGTTTGTTTGAAAAATATTTTTTTTTTAAATATGGATTTTTTTAACGTTAATATTTTTTTATGATTTTTGGCAAGTAGCGTTAGACGTGTGTTCATTTATTGTCGCGACGGTAACAGACGGACACGCTGTATACCAGATATAAATATAAAAGTATCCATGTACATTTGTGTAAAGGTAACAAAACATTGAATTCGTTCTCGATTGGACTACTCGTGTCATGACTGCTGTGTCACTCGATTGCGCAGTAGTCGATTTTTAGATTGTCTAATTTAGGTCGGCAAAGGAAATTGACCGCGCAAGACAACGATTCATTGCGCAAAACCTCCGCCACTTTGGCGTTTGTCGCTAAAGTTGATTGCCCAAATCTTTGGTATACATTAGACCCTCACCATCAGCACCGGCTGCGTGTCGGAGTCCAGGATGACGGTGCCCGCGGCGAGGCCCGACCCCGCACGATTCCACTTGTAGGAGACGATGCGGAAGTCGTCGTTTGACCTCGAACCGTTCAGTATGAGAACGGGGAGGGGAAGAGCGAGCACTTGGTCGCCGCCGGCGTCCGCTTTCGGCGGACTGTTCTTGTCTATGTCGAGATTTTAAATAAATAATAATAAAAATATTTTTTTTATTTATAATTGTTATGTTACAATGTATATCTATATGTTTAGTTTTATTTATGAAACATTATATTTTTAGGACACGGTTTTTTAAGCAACGTTCTCTAGTCTCAAGCGATGCTATAACTACGGATTCAAGATAACTGATAAAAATACTTTTCATATTACATAAATACTTATACTTATTATGTTCTATTAACAAGCAGACACTGGAAAACACTATATTCATCACACAATATTTTCCAGTGGTAGGGATCGAACCCACACACTAACGCAAGAGGCAGTTTCACTTCTAATGGACGGTCCATAACTACGCCAATCGGGTCGCCAATAATATTTTTTTGACAGACTTGCCCCCTTAACATATAACATTATCCAGTGCTGTAAGTGCATTTCACATGAAAAAACTCTCAGGTCCGAAACAATTGTCTGTTGGTCATGCAAAAACTTGTCTCGCGTGAGAATCGAACTCACGACAGCCAGCGCCGAAGCCAATACCTTGACAACTGCGTCAAGGACTTGTTTCCTAACCTTTTTCTTCATTACCCCAGATATGTGGCTGTTATTCAATATCACCACAGTTCTTCCTGACAAAAATGTTTAATATTATTAAAAATTGCTTTACAGTTTTAGATACCGTGTCTACATATTTAATATATTTAGTAATTAATATTACATAGAAAATTATCATGCATATGACCCATACGAAATCATGCTTAGGTGTTGTTAAGAATAAATATTATGCCTATTGGATAAATATTATACATACTACGTATCAAACTGTCGACAGGCCTATCGTGACTCAGTGTGTTATTGTAATATAAATTTTGTACAATACAATCTGCCCAAAATCGCAATGTCACTAACAATAAACGGAGCAATGTTTCACAAGTTTTACAAACACTCGTGATGATTTATGACCACAAAATTTATATAATTTCTTTACGCTTTCCATTAATGATTAGTTGAGTACCAGGCCGCTGCCTTTCGTACTCATACTATCTGCGGGCAAAATATCAATAGTGACCGGCAAATTTAGGCCTGATTTATATTTAAAATAATAACGAGATTAGCTCAAAAAATGTGAACATGCGAGGATTTTTTTGCAATTATTCTTCTTTAGGCGCGTTCCGAAAAAATTAAGAAAGTGAATTTTTACAATGCGCGATACCTAAAAGCGGCACCAACTTCACGGTGTTGCCATCCACAACATCCGATAGCTTGCAGATGCGTTGATAACGTTTAAACGTTTTTCAACTACAAATTCAAGTTATTTAATTAAAACGTTATCAACTGCATTTAATGACTTTTTCACAAACAAAAATTAGTGTCATTTTCAGTTATTTTTTCTTTTTTAATGCTTAAAAAGCATAACTATTTGCGAGGGTACATAAGTTCCATAAAATTTTCGGTTATTGTTCCTTTGCTACGCTAAAGAAGTATAACTACTTGTATGCGTACATAAGTACGCACGCACACAAAGATTTTTCGAGACGTTTGTCGGCACCTACGGCGAAGCAATCGGCGGGCACTCACTCTGCGTGACGGTGACGGTGACGTTGTCGGCGGCCGAGTTGCCGTTGTCGTCGAGTACGGTCAGCGAGAAAACGTACTGGCCCTTCGTGAGGGCGGTGGCGTTCGCGAGCGACTCGTTGAAGCGCACGACGGTCGAGTTGGTGGGGCCGGAGAGGCATCGCCACGTGTACGCGACTATGCGGTGGTCGTCGCGCGAACCGGTCCCGTTGAGCAGCGCCCACGTTTGGGGCAGCGATGTGAACTGCAAGCGCACGCGAGTCGTGACGCGCCCCCGAATCCGGAGTCGCACAGTACCTCTCGTTCGCACCGCAGCGGCACTGATCGTTTGTCTCGCTCGCACCGCGCGTACGTGCACGGTCGCGGTGAACGTCGCTGTTCGATTTTTAAACGCACGTCCGTGTACGGTCGCGGTTGCTATTCGTTTTTTAAACGGCTTCAAAAATGGGGAGGTTCTCGTTTCGGTTGTGTTTTGTTTATTACCTCAGACCCTCATTTATGAACTAATTTTAGAAATAGGTTTTGTCTTCCCATAATCATTTCATTCGTCTTAGACTTTTCAAGATCAAATAGAAAATGTATAAAGAGATACTTAACACGTAACAATCGATGCGATATTTGAAGTTAGTTTTGTTTTTTGTTAATAAAAATTAAATTAGGTGAACACGGATTATTAACTTAGTCGGGAAAAGTTTGAATATGGTTACATATTGCATAGCTGCAGGTTGCACAAAACATTTTGCTATGAGAGTTGTGCAACTGAATAATCTGAAGAGTTTTGTGAGAAAGAGAAAGAAAGTGATTTGGGGTGCGGTGCGAACGAGAGGACAAGAAGCTCCGCTAGACCTCCACTAGACTTTGAATAGATCGTAGACAAACACAACTATAATTGTATTTGTTTACGATCTATTCAAATTATGCTCTGTTATAAATAAGTTAATTCAATGAAACTATTATTAATTATTTTGAGTTCTATAAATATTACCCAGTACATATTACAGACATTTGTTTTATTGTCTTTGGATATAAACAATCTAACATTGAATACTCACATTATATTATATACCAATTACTTACACTTCAATAGAACCTTCAAATCTGTGGAGTCCCTTGGGGTACAAATTTATGTGCTTGTATTTATTTTAATGTTAAGTATTCAAAGTTTTGCATAAATACTAAATAATTACCCAACCTCAATGACAGTAATTTAAACGAATATCCATAAAATTGACCATGAAACAATTAGTTGTGCATTCCGTTGTTAATAAAGGTGACAACGTTAGGAATGAATATATACAGTACAGTCAATCAAAAAATCCCTATTTACGATATTATTTATATATACAAATGCAAATAATTACAATGTCGGGGCCCGCGTCGGCGATTGGTGGTGTGTTGGTGGGCGGTTTGACGAACACGTGCACGTCAGCCGTAGAGAACTGGCCGGACGAGTCGGTGACTTTCAACACAAACGTGTACACGCCCTCGGATAGATTCGATAGCTGTGTGAAAGGGAGAATAAATAAAAAAATAAATAAAATATTTCGCGACATTTTTACACAACGCTGTCTCGTCCCAAACTATGGTTTTTTTTAATGTGAATAAGTGGCAAACTAGCTAGCAGTTCGCCTGTTAAGTGATAACCGCCGCCCACGGATATTTGCAACACCGGTTGCAAATGTGTTGCCACTTTTTAATAATGTGCGCCCCGGCTACCTCACTCACCAGACGAAACGCAGAAGTGATTACTGATAAACATATTTAAACATAATTGTAAATAAATACATATTTTAGATATAGAAACACGCAGACACTAGAAAAATACTATGCTCCAGTAGTGGGGATCGAATCCACACCCTTTGTCGCAAGAGACTGGGTGGCTATCAACTGCGACAACTGGATCGTCAATATTTATCGACTCGTCCTATGGAGGGACATTACGGCGTGAAACTAACATAACTGACTAATTAAGTCGTAAAATAACAGTCTATACATGTCATGGCAAAGGCCTTCTCTGTGCAGAGCGTATTGGGCTCCACAACGCGATCCTACTGAAGATTGCAAGACTTTGCGTATCTTCGAAACTTAACTTACATCACGAGCCGGACTTATCAGCCAGCAGGAAATCATTGATCGAAATAACACGAATAGGACTTCAATTGAAGTCCAATTGAGTCTGTCTGTCGTCTATTTGCTTGAAATAAAATGAAAATTACGCGAGACGTATACAAGAACATCAAATAATTTTGTACAATAGTATGTAATACGTATTTTTTGAAGATATGCAGGTTTTAGCAACATATTTACCTTCATCACAGAGTGCGTAGTAAATAATCACTTAAAATCACAATTATCAATATCATTGGTGTCGACACCTGCGATTTAAACTCAGATTGATTGCTAGTTTTTTTTTTTAATGTGAGAAAGTAGCAAACGAGCTGGCGGTTCACCTGATGTTAAGTGATAACCGTCGCCCACGGACATTTGCAACAACGATTGCACATGTGTTGCCACCTTTTAATAATGTGAGCCCCGGCTACCTCATTTACCAAACGAAATGCAGAAGTGTAACACTTCTACTTTACGCCGGTCTTCTGTGAAGTCGTGGTAATAGCCCGGACGGACCTGCCCATTCGTGCAACGTTGCGTGGTCCTACCACAGTCCTACCAATGTTATGATTGTGGGTAAATGATCACCTGCAAGTAGGGAGAGTGTGTATTTTGCATGTCAACGGCTTTATTCTCGTCCTCGGTAGACTTTGTCCATTCCCAGGATGTGATCTCGTGGTCGTCAGTCGAGAGGCTGCCGTTTAAAGTCAAATTGTTGTTCGGCAGATATATGATGACGTCTTGACCTGGAATACAGTACTCTAACTAAAGTTTTTTTTATAATAACAAAAAAAAAAGCAAGATGTATCTTGATTATTGACGTTATTTTAATCAACTGTATGCAAATCTATGAATTATAGTTTTTAAACTATAAATATAATTGCACAATACATAATATTAATTACAAATATGCATTTTAATTGACCTGTAGAAAATTTACCTTGAAGAAATTGATAATTAAAACGCATTGTTATTTTTGTTCCTTCTTTTTCGTTCGATATCGTTTTTTAGGTGAATTATATTTATTAAAATATTCCTTTTAATATAAGCGATGTTCAAGAATTACTATACATCAAGAATTAAGGAAAACGTCAGGCAATCTCTATTTCTTTACAACGAAAATAGCAAATAATCGAACATTCAGACACGGAATAATTAACAGTTAAATCATGAGATTAATATTATAGAATATATCAAAACTCATAACACCACTATTTCGATTTACGAACTTGCATGTTTGTTTTTCCTTAAGGATTCAGGTACATTCATATCTTTAAACCAAAATTAACACACTGTTTACTTTTATCCCTGACATCTTTTATAGTTCTAAAAGAATCTTGAGAAAGAAGCGGACCTATCAGTCGGTAGACAGTTGTAACCAATACATGTAATAATGTGTTTCGTAACGAAGTTTGGGTTACCTGCGTTTGCTTCGGGCGGGTAGTCCGTATGGTTCAACACGGTGATGTTGGCGTAGGTGGAGTTTTTGACGTGGTCGGAGTCTTCGACGGTCAGTTTGAACGTGTAGTTACCGGGCTGCTTAAGGTCTTTAAGTACCAGAGTAGGCCCGTCCAGCAGCGGCGGTTGGTACCCTATGGGGCCTGACGTCAGCTCCCAATGCCACGATATTATCGCATCGTCGTCCTGCGAATAAATCATAAAACATATTTTTAATGATGTTCAATATAAACAAATTCATGTGTATACACGAAATAAGGATTATTTTCGTGTTGTTACTTATTATTTAGGTTACTATTAATTTAAAGAAGTCACATTTGCAGTTGCATTTTTACCAAGATCATTATGAGCCTAGTGCGGATTATTTTTTGAAGTAAGACAACGAGAATGTGTAACAAAAATTAGATTTAAAATGCACAGCAACATGTAACTAACTTCGCAAAAATAGTATTGTGTTCCACTTTGACAATAATTATTACTAAAATATTCTTCCGGAAAACAGTTTTATTTCACTCTAATTCGTTGCGATTAACATTAGTGTTTAATTCAAAAATTCAACAACTATGACTCGGTGGTGTAGTTGTCAAACAGTTGTTTCGGCGCCAGGGTTACAGGTTCGATTCCCACTGGGGCGAAGTTCCGCCGGCCGCACCTTGCTCGCGCTGCCGTCGAGCACGGCGCCGGAGTTGGGGAGCTTCACGGTCTGCGCTTGCGGCGTGATCACGACCAGCGGCGGCGTGTTGGTCCGCTTCGGCGGCAGCACCGTCACGTTGGCGAACCCCTCGCCGTACGAGTTGCTCCCGTTCACGGCCACCTTGAACCTGTACTGGCCCTCGGTCAGGTCGGTCAGCGTCACCGATTCGCCGTTTTGGTTCATGTTGCCTGAAATATAAGCAGCACCCGTGACATTCGAGCACAGGAGATACAGCCTGATGTCAGACAGACAGGTTATAGGTTGTATAGTTAAAGGTTGTCAACGCATCTATGACCCTCGGGTGTAGCAGAGGTGAACCATCTGTTCGCTTGGCAACTTTTCACATAAAAAAAAGACAGCAGAGTCTTAGTTATAAAGTCTCATTCTACCCTTTGGGTACAGAACCCTAAAATTCACCTGTGAATCCATCTTTGGGCTGATCAACCAAAGTCCACACATAGTTATAATGACTCTTGGTGGCCTTTTCATCAGGTATTGTGTAAGCAGCAAGAGTGACCTCATTGTCTGGAAGTTGAACCTGAAAAATTGACTATTTCTAAAATTCAAGTTCAAGTTTTCCTTCACAGAATTTGGTTATAAAAGAGTACTGGCAAAAGAGTAACTGACAAAAACCAGTGACTTGATAACATGGCCTAATTTAAACATTGATAAAATATTAGGACAGACATTTATAGAATTAAATAATATGCTACATATTACTTAATTCTATAAATTAAATTAGGTCATTGAATTTACCTGCTTTGATAATACTGAAACTGTCAAATTTTGTCTTGATGCTGGTGTTTCAGATTTATTGTCACCAATTTTTGATTCATCACTAATTTCCTCATTTTTTTTAATTGAATCTATTGGTATTGTGGGTCCTTTGGCATAAGGTCTTATTGCTTGAACACATGCTCCTTGGGAGTTTTCTTCAGTGCCAGGAATACATTTACAGATTCCATTACGCAACTTTAGTCCCAGAGATACACATTCAGAATTGTAAGGGCAGTCATCAGACTCCCCGACAACACAGGGTACTTTTTCAATGAATTTTGATGCATCCATTAACATATCACTGTCATTATTTTCTCGAAATTTGCTATAGCCTTGTGATCCCTCATCTTCTATATTCGGCAAGTTATTAAGGAAATTTGATAAAAAGTCTTCATTCACACTTAAAAGATTGCTATATCGACTTGTATAAGGAGTATATAATTCATCATCAGGTGAGAAATTATTATTCACCTCTCTGTTATTGGATTGATCCAAAATGTCTAACCAGCTCTCTGTAAGTTTATTAATTAATATAATGTAATAATTATAATATATAAATTCAATTCTAGAAGTATGTAAAAGAAATTACTATAATACTGATTATTACGATGGTCACAGCTTTCTATAGCATAAAGTTAATTTTGATAACTAATATTAAATGCATTTACACTCTAATTCATTATCAGAATATCTATTCTGAATTCAAAACATAAAAAAAATGATATCACACAAAAATTGGATTTCTGTAATGACATGCCTGATCTACCATTCAAATGGCAAAATGCTCATTAAATTATAATATTAATGCTATTGATAAAAATTATTTACACTGGTTAAATGGAAAACATATTTACCATTCGGTAACACAGGTTTAACAAGTATCATAGAAACTCGTGATTCCCATTTATGAGCTCCTACTCGAGGTAGTGGTAAGCAGAGCTCATCAGTAACACACTCAACATGGTAACACCGTGATTCCACCGTGAACACAATATGACAAGTTTCTGCAAGGCAACAGCCAATAACACATTGCCTTATGCCTTTTAAATCTTTTTTTTCTGAGAAATTCCCCGCAGTAAGGTTTCCTAATGTGAAAAACAATAAATTTATTTGTGACACTGAATCTTCGTACATTTAATATTTTATCACTTTCAATAAAATTTATATGTTTAAATTTATTTACCTGCCGGTGCGTAGTTTCCAAAATATTTTGGATAAAGTTTAGGGCACATATTTTCGAACTTATCATTCCAAGGTTTGTTGTATTGTGATAATGCTATTCTTATGTTCACAGTAATTAATACAGAAAATATTTGTACGATATAACTTGTAATATACATGATCATGCACAATAAATCTTACAGAAACATTAATCTACAAAAATTACACTTAGGTAACGTTTTCAGTTTTCGGTTCCGTTCGCTCTAGTTAATTCAAACGCTCTTTATTACGTTATGGTTAACACTTATCGCATTTGAAGGAAATTAAAGGTTAAAGATATATAATATTAGCGTGGGAGTAATGATAAACATGTTATAAATGTTTTGAAACAGGATCATGGAAAAATATTCTGTTTGCTAACGTTTAAACGTCTAATATATGTTAGGGATGGGCAAAAAATATCTATATATATCGTCGTAATATCGATATTTGATATTAATTTCAGACTATCGAATTCGTGTCAATTTCGATATTTTTTTTTAAAGTAACTGATTTCGTGTTTAATGTTAATAGATACTTTTTGATGATCGTCGCGCATCGTAAATTTAAAAACTCTTTTCAAATGTTTTGCTTCATGTCTTTTCTATTTTACGTATTTTCAATGGTTTGAAGTAAAAGTGGGCGATTCAAACATACAATATCGTCGTATCCAGATACTAATCTAATTAACAAACTATCGAGACGAAAAACTACTAACGGTACAATATCCGAAAATCGCTTACTGGCTCGTTCAAAATCTATGTACTTATCTGATATTTCCGAAATCTGATGTACCGAATACTCGCTTACTCGCTATACCATCACGAATCGCGATATCATACGCTTTTGCCGCAATATCAAATTTTTAGACAAAGCGTGTGAGATACAAATATTACATTAGTTCGAGCAGTACGGCAACAATATCAGATTTTTAAACAGATTTTATGAATAAGTTAAGTAATTTTGAATCTTAAAAGCATGCAAATAAGATCTGTTTCATTTAAATACTAAGCATGGTATCGACGATTACGATATCTTTTAATTCTTTTATTTAGCATTAGCCTTGAGTCGTAGCGAGCGACAAAGCGCATGAGATACACATATTACACTAGTTAGAGGGTTACGACAAACAATGCACAATATCAGATTTTCAAACAGATTTTATGAATAAGTTAAGCAATTTTGAATTTTAAAAGCATGGAAAAAAACTCTGTTTCATTTAAATACGAACCATGGTATTAACGATGTCTTTAAATTTTGTTTAGCCTTGGGCTGAGTGCATTGGTACGCACGTAATAGTAAGGGATGCCAACTTATAAATTTTCTTCCTAAATTAAGTAAGAAAAATATACAATGGAAATTTTTGTTGCGTAAATTTTTTGGGAAGATTTGTAGAATTTTAAATTTATTCACATTTTCGAAAAATAAAATAAAACTAAACATAACGAAAAAGAGAAACATAATTTAATAGTGCTGTGCTGCTTTGGTGGACGTCAGGCCAAGGCTTATGTATTAGGTTTTAACGTTATGATGCCAAACTTTGCAATAAAACGAAAAAAAAAAACTTAAAAAATTTTAAACGTACGCCTGACCTTGTAGGACTCACTGGTCTAAACAAACCTTTTCAAAATGAAACATAATTAACATTTTTTTTAAAGAATTTATAGTGGATACGCGAACGTAAACTATCTAGATATTAAAATACATAGTTTCGAAATCTGATATTTGAAATCGATATCTGATTTAGATACGGTTCTCAGGAAAAGCGATACGAACCATCTTTAATTTGATGATATGTCTGGATAATCATGCGAAAAATTGCGATATATCGATATGGAGATATTTTTCGCTTGATAATTATCGATACTTATTTAAAATTTCGATGCCATATATATCGATATATTTTTTAACTTGCTCATCCCTAATATATGTAGCAAAACTATAGTCTTCTTCTTGTATCTTGTATTAAATGTTGTTTTTGCTTTCAGTCCCGAGACTATTAAAGCTTCATCTGACGCAGAACCGGTGGGCTAGCCAGAACCCACGGGTTTGGGCCCTCCGCTGTTTGTATGGCCACGCATGTGTTCATGCGTGCGTTTAACTATGGTGTATCATCTAAGGGCCATCGAGGTCGCGGTTCGGACCGAAACCCCGATGGCTGTCGATTAGCTAATCAGTGGCTGGGAGCGGTGAGAACCGCCCCGGAACGCGGGTGTACCTTGTGTACGCGTTGTGTTGGTCTCACCGTGCTCGGAGGCTAAGGCGAACTAGTGTGTTTGTTGTTGCACTAACTGTGGGTGTAGTGTTATCCGGCGGGACCCTCGGCGGAGGGTCCGACGTATCTAAGTCCCCTTCCTCGACCGGGTCGATGAGGACGTTTCGCGGGCGACGCTTGTTGACGTTCGCGTTAGTGTCGGGTTGGTAATTTGCTGCACTTACTATGTATTACCAACAGAGGGTTGGGATGATGTTCGGCTCTATCGAAGAACCGTCGGGTTAGGTCTTTAAAATATTCGCGAATCGTCGGGAGTCTGCAATCGCTGTGCAGGTCGACGTTGCGTTGATACCACTGCGCACCGGTTGCGCGGCGGATGAACTTATTTTGTACTATTTGCAACTTGTACAAGCGAGTAGGGTGTGTGTGGGCGAAGGTCATGCATACGTAGGACATAATAGGTCGTATGCAGGTCTTATATAATAATAATTTGTGCCTTAAGGGCATTTTACTTTTAGCGTTAGTTAAATTGTGTAGCCGGCCGGAGACGAACGCGGCTCAATTGCGAACGTTATTAACGTGCGTAGTAAATGATATACGCGAGTCGAAAGTGACTCTTAAGTATTTGACCTTTTTCTCCCAGGGGAGCGGTTGGCCATAAAGGGATATTTGCCCCAGCTTTCTGCATTGGCGAGGGCCATTATAAAGATGTGACGGGTAAGTACTTCGTGTGAAGTGAATCGCCACACTCTTTTCGGGATTTATTTCTATTCTCCATTTGCGGAACCAATCGCCGAGGCGGTCGGCGGCGCTTTGGAGTCGAGTGGTTAGTTGACTAAGGTTGCGATCTGAATAAAAGAGCGCCGTGTCATCCGCAAAAAGCGTGATTCAATCACGCTTTTTGCGGATGACACGCGGTGGGGGTCTTTAGCTATATCGCTCGTGTAGAGCGTAAAGAGCAAAGGTGAGAGGTAGGAGCCTTGTGATCCGCCGGCCGTGAGGCGGCGGCTTGTGGAGAGGGTGCCTTCAACTCGATATCGAAAAGAGGGGATCGACAGGAAGGCCCGGATGGTGTGTACAAGCCTATCTGGCACTTTGAGTGTGTACAGCTTGTAAAGCAAGCTGTTGTGCCAGACCTTGTCGAATGCTTTTGCGACATCGAAGAAAAGAGCCCCTGTACTAATATGTTTAGGGTGATTTAGGCCTTTTAGGATATGCTCCGTTAGGCGGAATAATTGATCGGGAATCTTCTTCTTCTTCTTCTTATTCTAAGGCAGATGGCGGTCCATAAAATATCGCCAATGACACAAAAACTATAATCTACAGATACAGATAGCAAAATTTCACAGTTTTCTGACTTTTCTGATACATGTGTAATGAAAATGACACGAAATGTGAGTAAAAATACGAAAATTTCCGATGATATTATTAAGCCCAATAGTTTATCATAATCTTATATATATATATATATATATATATATATATATATAATTGGAATCTCGGAAACGGCTCCAGTGATTTTCATGAAATTTAGTATGTGCATAGATTCGGGGGTGAAAAATCGATCTGACTAGGTTTCATTTTTAGAAAATGTCGTTTTATCCCAAGTTTCAGGGAATGAAAAATATCATTCGAATACGACGCTAAATTTCACCAAAAAAAAATGTATAATATCTCGGTCGGTAATCGGCCGACCGCTAACAAACAGCCACGAAACAGGAGGCCGTGGTTCGTATCGCGATTTTTACACACCTACTTTTTTTACTTTTTTTCGATTTTTTGTCGATCCAGAGGATTTTGTTATTTTTTCCCTTTTTTTTAAAGTTCTTTCTTTTGTGAAAAACACCAGTTCATATTTTGTTATTATTACGTCGGTAAGATCGTAAAATGTTATGCAAATTTCATTACTCAGTAATTTGTATCGAAATGTAATTTTCAAAATACACGATTTACCAAAAAAAAACAAACCGAGCAAAGCTCGGTCCTCCGGGTACTGTATTTTAATTGAAAAAATGCATTATTTCAGTATTTAATATTTATTACCCCCGTGGTTTGAATTTATCGCAATCAAGATTTGTCAATTTTACTTTATAATTTGTGTTTTACTATGATATAGCAAAGCATGAATAACAGTTCCTGGTGCACGATAAGCTAAGGCCAGTGGCGTAGCTTGCCTTATACGAGCTCTGTATTAAATTTTGTTGGGAGACCTAACGTATGGGTAAAAAATATAATTTATTACCTTGGCTAACTTAGTTCCTAGGAGTAATATTATATATTAATAAATGTTCAAAAATTAAACTAATTCAAATCAAGTATTTTTATGAGTGATAGCTCAGCGTCCAGACGCTCTCTAGTTATTTAATATTCTGTAGTAACCCGTTGCCATCAACTATGAATTTTAAGCAGACATAAAACATGCTCAGTGGTGATAGAAAACCTCGTGCGAAAATCTGCATATTTTCGAAATAATAACAAAAAATAAATATTTCGAAGATAATATGTGAAGGCTGCCAATCTAAAATGGGGTAGCATGGTGAACCATGCCGTAATATCCTCTTTACAGAGGAGGCCTTTTCCCAGTAGTGACATGAATTTTATCAGTAATAATTCCATGAGTTCCTTAATTGACTGAATTTTCTGGATTTCATTTTGTTTGTTCATGGGAGAAGGTGGTAAATGAGCTGACGGTTCGCCTGATCTTTTGTAATAACCGCCGCCCATTAGCAACAAGGTGGCAACGCATCTGCAACTCTAAGGGTGTTGCAGATGCGTTGCCACCTTTTAATCAAATGGGAGGCCCACTTACGCTACCTCACTTACCAGACGAAACGAGAAAGTATTTTTCATACTTCCACTTTACGCTTGTCTTCTGTGAGGTCGTTGTACTTACCCGGACGGGCCTGCCCATTCGTGCAACAGCCGAGGCTGCTGCGTGGCCCTACCACCTACGAAAGAAAACTGATTCAAAGTATTTTACAGTGCGTAATTTTGGTTTTGACTGACTTGAATTTTGTGATGACTCGGTGGGTAGTCGCTAAGCTATTCACAAGCACACGACACAAGTATTTGTGCTATCCACAGATACAGACATGTAATTGTTTCGGGTTTGGTATTTGGTGTATGATTCCCAAAAAGATGACTTCTCGACATTGCGGCATCAGGACGGAAAACATAGATACAGAGGCGTTCTTTCTATGATCATGAATGCTGCAGTTTAATTAACACTTTATTGCAAGAAAGAAATGAAAAGAAAGGGAACTTCTGTATGGTAATTTGAATAAAATGAAGTTTAATTTGTTTGATGTGATAAGGTGGCAAGCGAGCCGGTGGTTCACCTAATGTTAAGTAATAACCCCCGCTCATGGACATTTGCAACAGACGTAGGTCATCTACAAACCTGTCAACCCACCGTTAATAAATTGGGCTCCGTTTACTTCACTCACTTGACGAAACGCAGAAGTATAACTTTTCTACTTCACGCCTGTCTTTTGTGATGTTTTGGACCCCGGACTATCTGGACCGGAGGTGCATTAGCGAATACTGTTGAGTGGCCCTTAAGTTAAGTTCGGTAAATTTATTGCTTGAATGCCATAAATATTTTAAAAAAAACATTCATTTCCGGAAAAATGAATGAAATACAACATTTTTGTATGATTTGTAGTGACTGTGGCAGTCGGAGACTAGTAGCTACCTGAGACAACATTTCCTAATCTTATTACGTGTACAAACCGTAGTAACGTGATTGTCTTATTATAAGCTTTTGTTTCCTAATTCCGTAACTCTTTAAACAATTTTCGGTTAGCACATCTGGAAATTTTTCATTTCCACTGAGTATGTTCTCGGGTACTATTTCCTTTTTTTTAATTTGAGGCTCCCGTTTCTTATTTTGGAGGTTCACAATCTATCAAGTATTGGACATCATCACGTCGGTTATAGTGTAGATTTTTAATAATACCCTATCTGGGCAGAACTCGTATGGGCTTGTGTATTCTTATCGCGTTGTTTTTAAATCGTTGAATTGTGCTCCATTTAAAATTATGTTTGCATTTCGTTCGCAGATTGCATTTTAATTTCCCGCCTGCATAAACCGCAAACATTGTGGTTACGACTGCAGGATGGGGGCAGGACAGATTGGTGGAATAGCTACTCTTAGTAATTATTCGACTGTTTCTTGTTTCCTTACGGTTTTAATTGTTTGTTAAATTTTGTATGCGGCGCAATAAACAACGAAATAAAACATATATTCAGAAATACAGAATTCTTAGACATTTTTCTTTTCTTAATGATTTTTATTGCTGCTTTAAGAGCATAGAAAATTTAAGTAATAAAAACAACATGAACTCTTACAGTGGATATAGACTTTGACAACGCTGCAGGTTTTCTCGGACAGAAAGCTAACAGAAATGAGGCACAGCATATCGTAAGTATTTACGATCAATACATGATTTTTAAATAGTCGTACCATTTAAATTTATGATCTACTAGCTGCTGCCCACGACTACGTCTGCGTAGAGGGGTGAAAATTTAGGATTGTATGTATTTTTGTCTGCTGTATCATAAAAAAAAAACCAAAATTTCGTCCAAAAATTAAAAAAAATGTGTTAAGGGTGAACAACCCTTATCACTTATAAAATTTGGTAAAAATCAGTAAAGCGTTTTCGGAGGAGTAAGGTAACTAACATTGTGACACAGAATTTTATATATAAGATTTTAAGTTGTCTTAAAAACAATCGTACAATTGTGTAATTTCTATGGAAAAGTTTTAGAGTAATTTCTTACGATACGAACTAGGCGTAGTGTGAGGCCTAAAAGATAAATAATTATAACTTGTTGTATAGTTGTATCGCATATTGGATATTTTTTAATATTTCCGTTGAAAATATATGTTTTTACTTTGACCTTTAATACAATTTTTTGTTACTATCGTCTATTATGGATCTGAAGACAAATAATTAGGTGTCTCAAAAGTTGTTCATTCGCAGGCTTACTACTTGTCGCACGCCATGATGTTCTGTACCGGTGTCTTAATTGAAGCACACGTCGTACTCACACCGGCTAGTTGCGTGTTCGGTGAAAAATATAAATTTGAACTTTTCGCCGGTACCCACGAGTTTCTGGAAAATTCCGGAGTAAGAAGACTGGTAAATAATGTTTGTATGCATAAAGGTGAGTTATCCAAGGAAATTGTATACATACATACCTGATGTATGTACCATAAAGAGCTGCGAAAGAGTCATTTTAAATTTCAAATCTAACGTATCCATGATTCTTTGATATTGCAATGCACCGTCGCGTTACCTATCTTTGTTGTCACCGTGTTTATCACAGGGGTGCTCTGTGGAATTGTTTAGTTTAACACCTGCTGCTGAATTTCGGCATGGGTAAAACGCTACATAACACAAAATATCATCGATACGACGTTAATGGTTGGTAGTCCAACACCATGCGTCATTACTTCTTGATTTTAGGTGAATATTATACATATTAAATGAAACTAGTTTACGGATTTTTACGCGTTTTTATATTGATTTTGTAATTCCCTACATTTCGAACCCTTTCCAGCGTTCATGGTGACGGGACAGTCCGTCCGACAGTAAAAATCCGTAAATCAGTTTCATTTAATACCATGCGTCTTGTAAAGTATTGTCAATGAAGCATACCTGGACTCAGTTAATTACATGGACTCATTAATTGCTGATGATATTTCCGGAGCGCAACTCTGCCTAATGAAGAGACATTACGGACGAAGGAGTTAGATAATAAATCGTTAAAGGCCGGAAACGGTGTTGATACCCATTGTGAGCGCTGGAGATCATATGCTTTTTTACCTAAACCTTTAATATTTGTCAAAGCGTAAAATCATGGCGCTTAATCTCAACATGTCAACAGGGTACAATCATACATTGCGATGGAAAGATTGTGTTTCGGATAACCTCGCATTACTGATCCTCGATAGGCAGTTTTCTTTTCATAAGCCCGAGGATGGCGCCGATTATGTCATAAACAGAATCCGGTACGGGGTTGCCGCACCAAAAGTCGAAAGTCTGTATAAAGATCGCTCATGCCGGTTTTATGGATGGGGCAGCCGAAGAAATGTAAGTTCAGAAATATAGAAACGTTCTTGCGCAGACGAAAATGGTTTGTAACCTCGCCTATCGGATCATTATTATATTTACCCAACAAAAAACTTACTACACCGCATACACCTTTGCTCATACACCGCTCACAAAATATGTAACACTAAATTGGAACACAAGAAATCTGAAAACACAAAAGTTATTCATGAACGCCTCTGGGTTAAGCCTTAATCAGGCTATCTACTTGGACTAATTGCACTATTTTGTCCATCATGATATACCTACTTACGGCTGTATTCAATATTCTATCTATCTGTAGAATTGGTTACTGGAGAAGAATTTTGACGTAATTATTATGGAGCAAATGTCAAATGTTCTATCGGTACTAACCAAATCTACAGACAGATAGAATATTGCAAACGGCCGTTAATGATGCAATGCATAATGGTAATCAATGATGTTTTAATTTGTATATAATATATCATTGGTGGTCTAAATTAATCTATTGTGACACAGGAAAGTTAATGTAGGTAACTTATGTTTGTCTAGCCGTCCGTTTTCCAACCTTCACACAATTTTCAAAACCAAGCGATTAAAGAAGTCCCGTATAAAATTTCGCAAATCTTTATTTCTAGGGTTATCTAATTCCACTGCTAATTTATCTCTATCGCATGGATGTGACGGTTTTGCCAGTCAAGCATTGCTCTCGTGTGTGGAACTATCAGGACAAATATCTTTGCATTCGTCAACCTGCTTGTAAGGTATTTGCAGTTATTGAAAATTAAACTTTTTTTCAATTATTGATTGCTTGTTACACAAAAATTACACGTTACTTAAATGAAACCATTTCATTCCGTGACTTAATCGACCAGACTATTTTAAAGATAGCGCGATGAAAATTCAAATAAGCGATGAAATCTGGGCAAATAGTTGTTTCCATAATTTAATTTAAATATAAAAATCATTACATGACATCCTAAACATGATTTTATGTTTTACAGTCAGAAACGCATGGCGTATTGTGTCCGGTAAGTGCGATTTGTTTATTTCATTTACATTTATTTTCTGGCCTTGGTTTTATGGGGCTGTAAAATGATGGAATCACATTGTGGTTGATTATAGCTTCAGTAGATGTCATCGTGTACAGCGACTAATAAAAAGTGATATAATTGTATTTCCCACTACTATAGATACAGTTTAATATCATTCTTCTGGGCAAATGGAAAAAAAATTAAATTAGAGTCAAAAAGTAATGAAAGCCTAGGAAACTAGCCATAGCCAGTTTATGATAAAAAAAGTCAGCAAAAATAATATAGCTTTCTTTTCTGCCACTGGCTTATTAGAAGATTAATATTATTTGATATGCTGTAATTGATCAGTTACCTATACCTAGGTATCTATTAATTTGTCACCACTAATATAGAGCATGGGAAGAACTGGTTCAAGACTGATACAACTGTATAAGGAACATGCAATTGTGTTTGATTTGAACAATTGAACAATACAATTGCTTGCAACTTGTATTATGAGAAGATTTTTAGTCATGCTTTCGGATATTTACAGTTCAGTTCAGTACAGTTCTTAGGCGGTGATTCAATTATTGGGCAAGAATTGGTATTGATATTTAAAGGATGCATCACTTTAAGTCGCATTTCGGTACATGAGAGAGAAGAAAGATACAACGCAGAGAGAGAGAGAGAGAGCAACGTCTACTAACAATGAACATAAAGCGATAGAATAATATATTGTAGAGCATGCCCGAGTTGTAGGTAGATGTAACTACGCGTCAGACGCTATAATATGAAAATGTAATTCATATTAGTCTATGATTGTGATTTATGATTATTCAGTTTTTTTGTAAAGAACTTTCACTTCTATCACGTGTACGGTGCTGCAAGTTTATATTTAGATATTTTTTGTCTAAGGACGACGTGGGCTCTGTAATCGTCTGCTCCGGTTTCGCTGTAGGCATGATGACGTCACGACTCGTCGACCGTCCGTGTGGTGTTGGCTTCATCGACTTAGCAAAATACAACAAGTTTCTGACTTGCGGTGTTGACGATTCGCGTGACGTCATCGATCAAGAGGCAATTATGGAGTTCGATTTTACGACGAAACCTTTGATGACACTTCAAACGATCTCCACCAGCGACGCTCGTACTAAGACCCAAAAGGTTGACAAGGATAAGACGAATATTACAATTAATAAGACTACTCCGAAGCGTCTCAGACATAATTTCTAGTAAAAGTTTTGATCTTTCTTAATTTAAAAAAAAATTAACATTAAAATATGTCTAACAATAAAAATTGTTGTGTTACAAAAATAAAGATATTTTAGTTGATAATATCAATATTCCTTTATCTACTAATGTAAGAAGTTAACTATATGAAGTTGATAATTTCATACATTACGAGTTGAACATTTTATTTAACACTAGCGACCCGCCCCGGCTTTGCACGGGTGCAATGTATATACATTATACATATAAATCTTTCTCTTGAATCACTCTATCTAGTTAACAAAACCGCTTCAAGATCCGTTGCGTGGTTTTAAATATCTAAGCGTACATAGGGACAGACAAACAGCGGGACGACTTGGTGTTATACTATGTAGTGATGCAAAGCAGAGACGTTTACATTTCAAGTGACATTTTACCAAAGTCACTCACTTGTTTTGCCTTCCCGGAACCGCTCCACTACACTTAAACTTTATGGTATGGTATTAAAGTTTAAATTTACTTTCAAGTATAATTACGAATCTTTTGTACGGGAATATGGAAAAGTGTTGTTTTTAGACTTTTTCGGGCAATTAAATTTTTCTTTCCGTAAGAACCATCCTCAAGGAATATTATAAAAAAAAGAATAAACGAAATCGATTCTCTAGATTTGCGCTTAGCAAAACATTCAGCGATTCATTTTTATATATAGAGATAAAAAGGGATATCGCAAAAAAGTAAGTATGAAGTGAGAAGACGTAAAACTGTTAAAATAAGTAAAATAGTTATACCCTATAAAATACCTTTATTCCCACTAAAAAAAGCCTAGCTTAGCTAGTAATAAAGTGAACTATTAGTGTAGCATTTACTATTAATGAATAGTGATGTGATATATGATTAGGTATAGACTATCTACATAGAAAAATTAAGAGGGCGTAGTAAAGCCCATCATTAGCAAAAATCATCATTCATTCCTTGCTTGAAATGTTTGCCGTCTTGTTGTTAGCTTTACTACTCAGGGATAAATAGAATAAAAAATACCTAAGGTCAAAAATATTGAAAGTGACAGTCTAATCACTTTGGGTCTGGGTCTTGATGTGCAAAATTCTGTGAGGTTGAAAATGATATGAACCTGATCACAAAATAGTAAGTATGAATATTAAAGATCTAATGAAACAATATGTGAAAAAAGTAAAAACGAGAGAAGGTATCGGTACGGTGTTTAAAATCTTATTTTATTTTTATTCCTTATCTTTAAAGTATATCGTTAATGATTAGTATTACAATAATTTTATGTAAATAATAGTTTGTCATACATAAAAATTTATCTTATAAATTAAAAACTATTTATCTTCTTCTAATACGGATTTGGTGTCCATCAATGGGGAATAAAAGTAACTCCATCTTCAATCGTCCAATGGTTTTGGCATCGATTTTGTACGAACGAACGATGCTCGAAATGATACTTTTCGCCAGGATCATTCCGAAGTTTCTCCCTTAAAGAAAGATTAGCAAATCCATAATAATCCTTCTGTTTACGCAAATAGATTAGATACTTCCACTGGCTTAATTTCGACGGGTATATGTGATACATATGTAATATATACCCTTGAAAAAGAGCATTGTTGAATTGGGTACGCGACATGAGTTGCACATTTCAAAACAAATAAAGCTAATCATCGGCCACTATATAAATTTTCTTCAAAACCGGTGAAATTACGAACTGGTTTAAATAAATTAACGACGATGGCGAAAAAGATTAACCTAAAAATCTTAGCGGTTATCAACACTTACCGATGCAATTCCTTGGCCCGTAACTGAATGGCATAAAGGCGGCTGGGTGCCGATCTATTGAATTTTCGGGCAGAAATCTGTTCGGATCAAATTCGTTTGCGCTCGGGCCCCATTCCGCTATGGAGCGATGGATTGCGAACACGCCGACCACCGCACTCGCTCCAGCGGGCAAGGTTACCCCACAATATGCTATCAGAATGTAAGGAAATCACACAGCATTAACGCAAGGCTAAAATATATTCCACTCTCGTGATTTTAAATTATAAAAAAATGTCATCTAACATCAATCCTTATACTATTATAAATAATGGTCTGTTAACAGGTCTTCAACCCATTATACAATTTTTTATACAGTTGTGAGGACATTTGCTGAATAATATTATTTATATTGTAGATTCATTGTGAACCTATATATTCATTGACGCATAAAACGTAATCAGTTATATCTTTATAAATAAAATTTTGTATTCCGTATGTCGAAATAAACGAACACAAATCTCAAAAACGAGGCGGTGCTTGGTATTTGTCAAGAGATTGTTTTATAAGTATACATTTTATTCTGATGTTCCAACAGAAACGAATAAAACTACCACAGTGACTTTGAAACTATAAAAAATACTCAATAAAGTGTAGTTATTTCCAGTTCTCGAAACTCGTGTTCTATTTACGGCATACGTGGCGCGTCGGTACGAAATATAGTAAAGAGCGCGGAATATCGCATCCGGTCATAACTGACTAAAGAGCTGCGATTTGTTTTATATTCAACAACCGTAATCTACGGATTCCAAAGTGTTCAAGGTCCGTGCAAATATTAACTACGTAGATGATGTCCAAACAATTCATGTTTCGTAAAATTTGGTCCGACGGGTGACAACTCGTTTAGTGTGAATCGAAGTTTAGAGTGACAACATCCAGCAATGGTCCTTGCTAAGAATTCGACACGGTCGAAGATGTAACGCTATGTAGTTAAGTCTCCAGCTCTCACTGCCACTGCCCGTCTTTTTGATATTTTAAGCTCTACTCGTGTCAAAATTAAACCCCCGCCCCTCATGCGTATATATTAAAATAAAATGTATATTTGATGTTACCTTATTTCAATAAAACTTACGTAAATATAGATCCCTATCGATGTTTCTGGCAACTATGGGCACAACGGAATAGAGACGCATGCTTTCTTTAATTACCCTCTCTAAAAAATGCATCTTGTAAATATCTTCTTTAGTCGCAGCGCGCTTCGATCCATCGAGGATTGACTCCTGTCTAAAACAGGTTTAGTTCATAAAAAGACTGATTAATAAGTGTTGCTCAAAAACAATTAAAATAGACTTATAAACTAACTCTTTGAACACTTCCTCTTGGGCATCCTGGTGGATGCCAAGGAGAACCAGGGTGTAAGCTATCACTAGAGCCGTGGTGTCATTCCCAGCTATAGTTATAGAGTCGATGTGCTCCCTAAGCTGTTCGTCAGTGAACTCGATCTCGCGTCCGAACAACATGTCTAATACTACACGGAGTTTGCCATCTGAAATTGCAAATCGTACTACATATAATAAACTCATAAGTCATACGTTAAACGTATGGATATAAATAATTAACAAGATTTTTTGTATTATTAAACGCTCTCTAAAAATAGGGGTCAATGAACTTTTATCTAAACAAAGCGGTTGCGGAGGCGGTATTTAGAATTGCATCCGGCAGTGGTAGGATAAGTATCATTAATTTGAATTGATTATGTATGTACATAATTAATATTACATAATACATTGGACAGATGACGTCTGTATAAATAATATAATATATCAATGCATCATATTTACTGTTTTCAATAGCGTGTAAATAAACGTTTATGGCTTGGAACGACAACTAAATCGTGCAAAGTGGCTTATCAAACTATCATTATCCCTTTATATTTACGGAAAATTAAATTATAGTTATACTTATCATCCTATAGGATAGGGCACCCCCAAGAAGAGGACGATAATTATTATAGTTGTGTCTCTCTATTGGTTTTATTTTAATAAGAATTACTCACAATACGTAAATATTGTTAGAATTTTAATACATATACGTGATAACATCATGTTGGCGCTGGCAACACTGTATACCGGATAGGACGTTATCTACTCGAGCCAAGGGACACATGGTCGTATGCACAGCAGCAGCGGTCACTTGGATTTCGGCTGCGTTCCCGGACGGTGAAATAACCACTAGTGCTGCTTGTCGTTATAAAAAGTTGTTAATATTCATGTTCAGTAATAGTTAAAATATTAGTATCAAGGTAAAATCGTTAGAACTCTTATAATCATGTTAAGACATAAGTATAGAAAGAAAGAAAATGAATTTATTTACCAAAAAAAGGACGCACACAACTAAATTTAACACAAAAAAGAAATAAAAAATTACATTTATAAATACTACAGTAAAACAAAATAATATAAATACATAATTCGAAAACGAAAAGTATTGTCCGCCCTATTTCGGTAAATTAGGTCTGCAGCTCAGCATTATGCCGTGCCGGAAGTCAAGGCCCCAGCACAGCGCTGATTTTCAGTGCTGACCTTCATGTTTCGTGATACTTCGAAGCCGTTCGACTCGACTTCGATGGTATCTTCTGCTTTTTCTTGCCATCCACCCTGGTGTGTCCCACCTTGGTGTGGTCGGCATAGCATGTGAATCATGTTAACGGTATTGGCCAGGTTTTTACGCCAAGCCATTGTTGGGATAAACATTAAGATCCGGAAAATTATCTTTGGGTCACACAATACTTCCAACGTGTGGGAATCGAAATCACGACCCGCGGCACAGATAGTTTAAAGATTTTATTTCCATTAACCAATCGAAAATTAACTTTACAGCATTTATCAACTGTTGCTTAATTCTTTTAGCACGATATTAGTAGAAAATACGTATTGAAGCTAATACAGTTACTAAACGAACGTGCCGCTGACGTGGAAGCAGATCGAAATAGATTACTAACTAATAACTTATTATTTTATGGCCCCTTGAACTTAACAAGTTTTTCACTTACATAGCGTTTAAACGACGGAATTGTACGCCAAGATCGTGTTATTGTTTAGTTACATTGTTGTTTTATTAGATACTGAATAAGTTATGAGATTGTGAAGTTATTACTGTTTGTTTCGTGTTTTACTGTTACGAAACTGTTTATTGTCTTTGCGGGACAAACATAAAGTAAAATATTTAAAATAGTCCATAACTGTGGTCAATAGGGCTCGTGACAACACGCGTTTCAATATGAGGCCGGGTCGATCGTTACTAGAAAATAGCCATCATTATCCTAAACAACAATGCAACGAAGTAATACGAATTTATAAAACCTAAGTGGAAAGCTTACGTATGGAATCATCTTAAAGCAAGTTATTCACTCAGCTATTACATATTACGAAATCAAAGCGAGAGCCCAGACTCTGTTATTTGAAATCATGCCTATTTACAAAAAAATATGTACATATGTAGGTATATGTAAAGACGTGCAAATACCTGACTTTTCGTTCGATTTTTTCAATTTATTTCTTTCGTATTCCAGCCGCCTCTTACGTACAACCTAGAAAAAGAATAAATATTTACTCAAACATACGAAATTAGAAGAACGCTAAGAACAAGATATTCGGATGTTTTACGTACGTATGAAATAATCAATGCCGCCAATATAAATGAGTATAACTGAGCTTAGTAATAATTCACAAGATTTTAATGTAGGTAATATGAAAATTAGAATAGCTAAATCTAAATCTACCTCATTCGTGAACTCGTGTGTGAGATTTATACTCTCCTTCTGCTGCCTCGCATACGTCGTTAAATTGAAAAGGCAGTCTGGCTGAAGCCATACTTTGAAAAATCGCATGTTCAGTATCGTCATGACAGTGTGCCGGGCGCGAAGGTACGGTGTGTCTGGAGAGTGCTGGATGTCCATCCGTTCGCCCATAGCAGTTTCTGTGTAATACATGAGTTTTTGTAGTTATGCACATTACATAAAGACCTTGAATTCCACAGAAAAAAAAACACACATACATAGCACACACGAATACAGACTTATTGTATTTACTTTCAATTATTATGTTACATGAGACTAAAATTTGTGGATTAATGAATAATTATAGTAGGATATATATTTATATATAAGAATTAAATTGATGGATCGTCACTTGGTGGCTCAATGGCTGGCTCATTGACTTCAATAGGATCTTCGGTTTGCCGTTTGGGAACGGAACAGTTGAAAATTTTATCAGTGGCGAATGAAATTAGGATTGGTCTTGGACTTATTAATTCTTAAGGTCAGAGCTACACTCTCTGAAGACTGTAGATCAAAATAGTTCTCGCCTTTATAATATTATTAAGGATAGTTTGACGCAAAGTATTCCGTGTTTCACGAGATGTTCGAAATTTTCAAACAGCGGCCAAAGCTTAAATATGTAATGTACTAAGTAGTGTGCGCTAGCAGTTTGCTTCTGCCAGGCTAATATAATGTACGGCATATTCATAGGTGGCTTTGACATGTATTTTTAACCTTCGATTGTAAAGTTTGTATTTCACTTCAAAACCATAGGTACATTACTTATTAATATGTATTGCATATTAATAAGTAATGAATTATCAAACAAATTCACTAACACAAAAAAATATTGTTATTTATGTTTTAGTTCAGTTTTGAGCAATAGACATTCCTTTCAAGGGACAACAACAAAAATCATTAAAGACGAAACCGTACCTAATATCAATCGATAGTGAAAAATTGTAATAATAAGAACTAAGTACTATCGATTTCTTGATTGTTTTTATAGCAGAGAACGGTAAAGGAGCTAGCTTTTCGCAAGAGAAAACGCTCTCTCGCGTTTTCTCTGTTGGCTGTTGGCATTCAGTATGCCAGACAGGGTCATATACAATATCGGAGCCTTCAATTCGAATCGCTCTTTTTTATACCGGATATAGCGCACTCTCCCCTAGTCACCCACTCACGGCGTATTTTCTAACATATTATTTTTGCACGCATATTCCCGAGGACCCACAAGTCGATCGCGCGCTTTTTGGTCATAAGCAACACAGACCCTCTCCTTTTGGATAAACATCCTAACTGAATCACTATTCGCCCCCAAAACGACGTCGGTCAGTGCAGTAATTGCTTTCGCAAATGGAGTCGAACATGAACTCCGAAAAAATGATACCAATGCACATCACCATATTAGTAACTATAAACCGGTGTGAGATATATCAAATGTTCGTGTATTAGGAACGGAGGAGCGTGAAGAAAAGGGAAGATAGAAAAGTGGACTCTAAGAACCCGCGTTTTAATGACACATAAAAAATTTGCAAGTGTCCACGGTAGCATACGATGAGTTGTATCATTTTGAATCATTAGAGTCTTAGAATAAACTATTGTTGTATTATATTTCGCTTACCAAAGACGATATCCAGCGTACATGCGGTGATATATCGCAGAACGTCGAAGTAGTCCTCATTACTTTGCTCCCTGAGTCTTTCTATAAGTATGTTAGTCTGTTCCCCAATCACGCCCAAATATTCTTCCACAATTTTGTTGTGAAACACGGGCAGTAGAACTTTTCTGTGGGATTTCCATAGACCAACTGAAAAAGACCATTTTAATATGATCAGATATTCATACCGGTGGGCAGCAAACCATGGCACGACTGACAATATCTTGATAACTGCGCCAACAATGAAATCAAATGATTTATATAATTGCCAGGTTTAAAAGTATTTTTTCTTTATGCTGCGAGATTGTGATATGAATTGTTTTCAAATTAAATATTCACTTACGTGGGGCTACGAAAAGCCCATGACCGAGCCATGGTCGCAGAAAACGATATACTACGTCTTTGTCTAAACAATTTTCAAGTACAATTTTCGCATCCTCAGCGTTACCTATAGCTGCATTTTTCATGAATAGAGAAAAAACAGAGACATTCATTAAACTGTATAATTAATATTCGCATTAAATAACTTATGAACTGAATAAGTTATATTCGTATTTAATATAAAAGTTAATAGGATAGTTTATTTCATACCTATATAGAGTTTTGGCCCAAGCCAAAGTTTTGCTGCACCTTTGTGTTTGTAACCTAATTCTGCAATTTTGTCTAGATTCTGCACGATTTCTACAAATAATCATAACAATTTGTGTGAAGTTATATACATACTGTCTTCCCTTTTCACATTTAAATAACCGACATATTATTGTTGCGATGTTTACAAAAAATAAACGAAGTGTTGAAAAATCACCGATAATGATATATGCATATAATATACATATAATGTACCAAATATAAATATCATTCTTACGGGAACACCAACTTCTACGGCATTGGAATGAAAGATTAATAAATTATGTTTTGTTATGCTTACTTTCAGCGTCCCCAATAAATAGCATAGCATTTCCTAGTAGGGGGAGTGATGGCGGCACAGGGAGGGAGGCAGTGGCGCTGTCCAAGCGATTAGCACCTGCCCTCCAATATAGCCAGTAGCAGCAACCGGCTGCCATTAATACCATTAAAATTATCATAGCCTTAAAGTGTAAGCCACCTTAAAAATATGTTAAAATGTAAGTAGTATACAAATCTTCGGCCACTCGTATGTAAAATAATTTTAGTCTAGGATTTTTAAATAGGGTTTATGTGAAATTGACAGAAGGTTGTTAAATAATTTTGTGGATTAAAGTGTAACCGAATTATTATAACAAATAACACACTGTAAAATTTCACTGAGTATATTAATACTTCTTAAAGATTATTTGAAATTTTCACTTTAAATAAACTTAACTATTATATATTTATATGTTATATAGTAAAGTAAGAATCGCTGTGGTAACGAGTATCGACTCTGACACACAGATTCATACTCCTAATAGTGAGCTCTACCTTAAAACCTTAACGCATCATTGACTTGCTTAGCTTATAGGTTTATTCAAATATTAGAATACAACATACGCAACGAATTAGGTACATGAGAAAATCGCGTTTACGTTAAAGGTTGCTTTAGTAATATTGATATAATACCTAGAATTATTGAATGAAAATTAACAAAAATTATGTCTTTTTTAAATGTTACAGTTTGAATAAAATAGTTATTAATTTACAAAATATAAAGTCTCTACGGTATATTGTTGACCAGATTGAAACAATTGCAAGTAAATGGCGCAAATATGGCGTGGGGTCCGCGTACTTTTAAATTTTTAAAGATTTACATCCTTGGTGACAAAAAGCGGGTTCCTTTCTCGTTATATATGTCTTATCTATGTTTTTCGCTGAAAGGTTAAGCATACTTATTCAGCGCGGAAATGCATAGAACGTTCTTGGCGCCATGCCACGTTGGCTATTTTTTTTTGATAACGTAGTTTAAATTTAATATTTTCGGGGTCACCCATTAATTACTTAAGACGATTTAATGGGAGGGGAGTCGACCGTGGCAAGGAGGTGGGAGAGAGTTTTGATAGTCTTTACGTAAGAACCTAAGCATGCTCAAATTTAAAATTATGCTTTGAAGAAGCGCGGGCAACCGCGCAAGTGCCTAAGTGCGCTAGGATGCTGTGCCGCCTCCCGGGAAGTCCCCGTTTGTCAAATTGTCGTTACTTGTTTGCTTAAACAACACCTGTTATTGCATTGATGATATTGTAATTGGATTAATCAAATGTGTGAAAAGTTTATTTTATTGATGTGTGTAAAGTGTGGAGTAAATTTCGTTGTTGTGTTTTATTCATGACTTCCGTGTCAAAGGCCGATATATCGCATCCTGCGTAGAACAACGTGGCATATGCAAAATTATAATTGTTCAGGACGGCCGATTCAAATTATAATTTTTTTATATTGGTCATAACTTTCTTATACAGATTATTATACATACATCTTATACTTTCTTGTACACTTAGCAGTTGCTATTACAATTTTTGAGGTTTGTAATATGAAATAATTATATAAATTTAGGAAATAAGAAGTTTCAAGTGTAATAGTGACGTTTTCATACGGAAAATGGCACACACTAATGGGTCACAAGATCACATATACACGTTTATATAACGTTGTTCAACGGAAAATTCCTAAAAATAATAGGTCACACGTTCATTTATAACGTTGTTCTACTAAAAACTCGGAAAATATGTATGACTTAAACGCATGTAGCACTGTTTTTAACGAAATATCCATAAAAAAGTGGGTGACTGTGCAATAATTATCAATTGACTGTAATAAAGTATATTATACTCGTCTATTACATTAGTAAGGTTAGTCTAGTCAGTACAAAAAGACAGTTTCTAAACCTACATACGTCCTTGTACTGCGGAGCACAAATCAGATAGAACGTTGTTCTATTCTGAATTCTCCGACGATAAAATCAAATTCGTTCTATGTTACCACAGAACGTTATTCTACGCACGGCGCGATATATATATATATATATATACAAAAATTATTTTTATTCGGGACGTTCCGGCCAAAACAATTCAAGATAATAGTAACATTTAATGTTGTAGATAATGTTTATGGTAGTATGTTTTGTAAAGCAGCAAAGGCAAATCATGGTTTAGATGCTAATTTTCCAAAACCAAATATTGGACAAAATAAAAAGCCTAAATGAAGAACGTCCGACAAATATTTAATGAATTTTTTTGCTGAGACAAATATTTCTATCTAATCTAAGTATATTTTATACTATAGATATGTTATACGTTTACATAATAACATTGACGACCCGAATGGCGTGGTAGGTAGTGTACCTGCCTCCTGTAACAGAGGGTGTGGGTTCGATCCCAACTACTGGAAAAATATTGTGTGATGAACATAGTGTTTTTCTAGTGTCTGGGTGTTTATATATGTATAATATGTATTTACTTACAAAAGAAAAGTATGTTTATCAGTTTTCTAGTACCCATAGTACAAGCTTTGCTTAGTTTGGGACTAGAGAATGTTGTGTAAAAATGTGTCCTAAAGTATTTATTTATTTATTTAAAGTATAATAACCAGTCAAAAGTGTTCCAAACATAGTGACAGCACTAATGATATTTTATACTACAGATATGTGTTGGTAACGCTCCCGAAGAGAAGCTACAAAGCTAGGTCAAATATATCTTTATGGCCAAACGCTCCCCTGGAAGAAAAAGGTCAAATATTTAGGAGTCATTTTCGACTCGCGTATGTCATTCACAACGCATATTAATAACGTCCGTAACAGAGCCGCGTTCGTCTCCGGCTTTAACTAACGTCTAACCAGTCAAGTAAAATGTCCTTAAGACACAAATTACTTTTATACAAAGTTTGCGGCCAATCAAGTCGTACGCATGCATGATTTTCGCCCACTCGCACCCTACTCGCTTGAATAAGTTGCAAGTAGTGCTAAATAAGTTCATCCACCGTGCAACCGGTGCGCAGTGGTATCAACGCAACGTCGACCTGCACAGCGATTGCAGACTCCCGACCATTCGCGAATTTTTCAAAGACTTGACCAAACGGTTCTTCGATAGTGCCGAACATCATCCCAACCCTCTGGTGGTGCGCGCAACAAATTACCAACCCGATCCAAGCGCGAGCGTCAACAAGCGTCACCCGCGAAACGTCCTCACCGACCCGGTCGAGGAAGGGGACTTAGGTACGTCGGACCCACCGTCGGGGGTCCCGCCGGATAACACTACACACATAGTTAGTGTAGCAACAAACACATTAGTTCGCCCTCGCCTCCAAGCACGGCGAGACCAACACAACACGTACACAAGGTACACCCACGTTCCAGGGCGTATCTCACCGCCCCCAGCCACCGATTTGCTAAATCACAGTCGACGGCCATCGGGGTCTCGCTCCGCACCTTGTATCTTGTATTAACTGATGTTTTTGCTTTCAGTCCCGAGACTATTAAAGCTTCATCTGACGCAGAACCGGTGGGCTAGCCAGAACCCACGGATTTGGGGTCCGCACCGCAACCTCGATGGCCCAACCACAAAACGCCCCAATTGGGACGTTTGGCCTAATTCAGTTTACGTCAGGTAGGGCGGGCAATTATCCCCTCCGACCGGGTTCCCGCCTTGACGTGGCGGAGGGGTTTAATAGCCGTGGCTTGGTCATCCACGGCGAAGCTAAGAGGAACCCACACTGGGCCGGCCTGTGGTGTAAAGCCGGCCCGAGAGGGCTGCTCCGAGTGGGCTTATTGAGCCCACTCTGGATGCGTGCTGGAGGGTGCAGGGGACAGTTTGAGGGTGGTAGAGGTGGAGCCACTCTCCCTGTCTTCTACTACCGAGGAGGAGTCGTGGGGGAAGAGGAGTGTCGGTATTGCGTTGGCTTCGCTCCCTATCCTCCGCGAATCGGCGGGGCTGCACCGCTGATGCAGTGGTGGTGGGTCGCGGGGGGAGAGAAGTGTCGGTATCGCGATGCCCCGTTCTCTCTACCCTCTGTGGCCGAAACGTGGTGAGCGACGGAGCCACAGACCAGGTCCGCCGCTGGGGGCTGGGAGGCTTGCTGCTTTTTAGCAGTGGCTCTCCTGGCTCCCATGGCCCCGGTCAGTGAAATCGGGGGAGTTCGTTGGCCTTGAAAATGGGGCCGAGTAGGAAGGCTGAGAGGGATTACCTGGAGGATAGGGGAGTGGTTTTGTGGAGAAGACTGCTGAGGTGACCAGCGCAGGCAGGGTCGCGGATGTGTGCAAAAGCGTTCCCGTGACCCTGCTCGATATGCGCCTAGGTGGAACATCGTGGGGGTTTTAATCGGTGCGAGTTCGACATAACCCGCTCTTGCCCCCGCGAGTAAATCGATTGCGATTTCAATTTCAACGGCTAATTCCGCCCCCGTTCCCTCAAAACGGGCGACTCCCACTCGCATATTCCATAATGGAAGGTCTACTTTAACGTAATATGTGAGTGTTTGTTTTAACATAGATATATTCTCGCTAATCGCTTGAAACGATTATGATTAACACGCGCGATAAATAATTTAAATCTCCTGCCACCACACGACAACGCATTACCACTAAGTCTAGGCAACAGAGGCCTTAATTGGTTAATGTCCGCCCATGCCACACCGCGACTAGCGGCACGCACCAAATGCATTAACAAACCTTCCCTTGGCTTGGCACACTGTACAGCGAGTGCGAGGTCTCCGATTCATCGCCTACACTCATTTTAGAAATTTTCGTGTCTTGTGTTATCGTAAATTATTAATTCACGTTATTTTGTTTCTGTTAATTAATGTCTGTTGTGCTTAATTCATCGTACCAATTCTTCTGCGTTAATATGTGTCGCTTAGATCTCAATTTCAACCTTCTAGCCGTGGTTTGAACCTCCATCTTCTGAAGTTTGGATCGTACCACCCTTGTAGTTGAATTATTGTTCATATTTCGTCAACAGAGGTCGTGGATACGCAACGGAATTGACCGTTCACGGTGTCATCAAGTCGTTATCGTGTATCCGTTTTCCTTTGAGTCCGTGGGCCATTTATCCATGGACCTAGACATAAACCAGCAAAGCCGCTGAGGTATTAGTAAACTACAGTTACACAAAAATAGAAACATACTTACGCAAAAAAAAAAATTATTACCTTTATTTAATAACATTCCTTAGAATTAGAACATTACATTATCTGTGTTAATCAATCATGGCTGGCTTGGTTCGTTGGCTGTTCAGTTTTCGGTAGCATAGCATTCCTTCATTGCTTTTCATTTAGGTTATATTAGTTTGTGTTATTTATTTATATTTTTCTCATGATTATATAAAATTTTATCAAAGAAAGTGTTTATCAATAATAACTATACATAACTGTGGTGGTGTAGGAGTGCGTATGTGTATAATGTCAACCAGTGTTCTGTAAAAACAAGGTAAGCTTATCGTAAGATTCCAAAATGTACGGATGACGCTCTGGTAACTTTTTGATTAACAATTATATAGTAATACAAACATTTCTTTAATTAGGTATCGAAGTCTTAACATGGATTTTGGACATCCTCCACCGAATATGGGCATGCCCCCTCCCGGCATGGGTGGTCTAATGGGCCCACCAGGTCGTAACAACATCCGCCATAATTTTAGACCTTTCAACTACCAGATGCGCTTTCCTCCTCAGGGTCCCCTGAATATGACTCAAGACGACTTTGATGGTAAACGTTTACGTAAATCTGTTATGCGTAAAACTGTTGACTATAATGCCGCCATTATAAAAGCTTTAGAATGTCGTGTTTGGCAACGCGATTGGCGGGATAGGCATGCTCTTCAACCGGATGCGATGTATACTCCTGACCTTTTGCCGCCACCTTCGTATCCTGATAACCCAATAAATGCTGTCACAACACGTTTTGTTAAAACTGCAACTAATAAAATGAGATGTCCAATTTTCGCTGTAGCTTGGACACCCGAAGGTCGAAGGTTAATTACCGGAGCTTCCTCAGGAGAATTTACTCTATGGAATGGTCTTACATTTAACTTTGAAACAATTTTACAAGCTCATGATTCACCAGTTAGATCAATGGTTTGGTCCCATGGTGAAGGTTGGATGGTAACCGGTGATCATTCTGGATTTATAAAATACTGGCAAAGTAATATGAATAATGTCAAAATGTATCAGGCTCATAAAGAAGCTGTTAGAGGTATTAGCTTTAGTCCCAGTGACTCTAAAATTGTCACTTGTTCAGATGATGGTACTTTACGTATATTTGATTTCTATAGATGTCAAGAAGAAAGAATATTAAGAGGTCATGGTGCTGATGTCAAATGTGTTCAGTGGCATCCAACAAAAGCACTTATTGTATCTGGTAGCAAAGATAATCAACAGCCTATAAAGTTATGGGATCCTAAGTCAGGAACTGCTTTATCAACACTACATGCACATAAATCTACAGTAATGGATTTAAAATGGAATGATAATGGCAATTGGTTAATAACTGCTTCAAGGGACCATTTACTAAAATTATTTGATATACGTAAATTAGGAACTGAACTGCAAGTTTTCAGAGGTCATAAAAAAGAGGCCTCAAGTGTAGTATGGCATCCAAATCATGAAGGTTTATTTTGTTCTGGTGGTTCCGATGGAGCTATTTTGTTCTGGAATGTTGGTACAGATAAAGAGGTTGGATGTATTGAAGGTGCTCATGAATCAATTGTGTGGACTATGGCTTGGCATCCCTTGGGCCATATATTATGTTCTGGTTCAAATGATCATACATCAAAATTTTGGACTCGTAATCGCCCTGGAGATCAAATGAGGGACAAATATAATTTGAATACTCTCCCACCTGGTGTGCAAGATGATCACGATTTAGAGGAACCAGCTATCATACCAGGAATGGGGCCTGAAGATAAGGTAGAAATATTTTCATCAGATACTGATAAGGTTATACCTGGTTTAGATTTAGATACTACATTTATCCCAATGGAGTTTGAAAAGAAAGCTAAGAAGGTGCCATATAGCAAGCCTATACCACGAAATTTCCAAGCTCAGTGGAATCATGGACCGACTGTGGATGATGCAGCAACTGAAGCTTTGACCCAAGCATTGGTTGAATCAGTACCAGGTGCTGTACCTCTTCAACAATTGACACCATCAGCAATATTTATCTATGGAAAACTAATAACAGTTGACGCTGGTTCTAAATTAGAGAAAGCAATTTTGGATGGCCCTATTGCATTGAAGAAATACATTGCAACTGGTGAAATAGAAGAGTTGCATGATATGATGCCTCATTTAGAGAATGATGACAACTTTCAACCTTTTGAATATCCCACACAAGAAAGTGAATCTGATGCTGCTGATGATGAAAACAAAGAAAAAGAGAATTTTGAAGATGAAGAATATTTTGAAAATTCACAAGATACTAATAAACAAACTACCGAAGAACAGGACTTTGATAATTTCGACAATGGATCTGAAATGAACAATATAGTGCCTTTGAATAATATGCCACAAATGGGTCTGATGAGACCACCAGTACCTATGAATATGGGCCCCATGAGGCCTCCAATGGGTCCTCCATTAAGTCATATGGGGCCAATGAACATACCACCACCATTATTACCTGGTATGCCACCAATGGGAACTATGCCTCCTATGCCAAACATGCCTCCAATGAGTAATATGCCGCCCCCCATTGGTAGTATGCCTCCACATCCCCCATATCCAGACAATGGTTATCCTAAAAGTCCCTTTGATACTGGCTATGAAAATCAGTCATTTTCACAAAATAACGAAGATTACAATGAAGGAGAACCTTTTGAGCAGAGCTATGAAGAGGATGGTTATAATGATGATGATGATATGAATGACAGTTTTAATAGAAATCAAAGATGGGGTGGAAATTATAGAGGTAGAGGTCATGACAGAGGTAGAGGTCAAGATCGTGGCAGAGGTCAAGACCGAGGAAGAGGTCGTGGGATGAATGGTCATGGAATGCGTGGAAATCGCAGGGGAAATAATGGTGGACCCCGTGGTTCACCCTGGCCCCGAAGAGGTGGCGGCCTTCATCGAACATTTAGAAGAGGAAATAAATCAATTTCAAACTAGCACATGGTAGCGGTAAATAAATGCACTGACAATTTTTTTTCGATAATAATGTAAGTGTGTTAGTGTAAAATACAGTGATGGCGATTAAAAAGGTTGTACATAATTTTTATTTACAGCTTCTATGTTAATTTGATAAGCTGGAAACATAATAAATTTATATTATGTCATAAAAAATATTTTTGTATTTATACTCAGGTGTTCTCCTTAAGCTACTTCTTCGGTGAGTTTATCAGTTACTATTGTACAATTAATTTAAATTAAAACAAGTTTTATAATGTTTTATTGTAATATCAGGTAATTGTCATATAAGAGAAGTGCAAGAAACAGCAGATCCGAAGATAGAAGAATAGCCCATCAAGAGTCTGCAGAGTACTAGGAGCCAAGGCGCCGACGTTTATCTCCATCTTTATAGTAAGAGCCCGGCATTTTTTGAATTATGTTATTAATAAAGAAAAATAAAAAAAATAACTCCAAAAAATAAAAAAAAGACTTATTCTATTTACCTTATGTAATCTAATATTTGTTTATGTGGGAATAAATGGATTAGTAAATAAAGAAAACCTTTGTCCAAGGTATCCTATCCTTGTTTAAAAATTAGTCAGTACAAAGTATTATATTAGATATTACAGATGTCTTTGAATTTTTAGCTATACCAGATCCATATTTTTGTATGTAAAAAAATTATTATTACATAGAAAAATATGGATTTGGAATAGATACTAGTTTTTAATAATAATAATAATTAATTAAAAAGTTATAAATTTAGTTTTTATATATTTTAGGCAAGTACACTAAAAGAAATTTAATTAAACAACACTATTGTTTGCATTTGCTATCAATTTGTTTGTGTAGAATTTTTTTGTACTGACTTATTGGTAAACCCTTCCTCATTCTCCTTGGACAATTAACCATCTTAAACACTGGTTTTTGTATCAAATGTTGATGGTGCTTTGAAATAGGATTTTGATTTATAGCACAATTTGTAGAATAATAAAATTGTAAAAATTTTAAGGGTTTCATTTGCTCTTGCCCTCTTACCTACATAAATAAAGGTGAATTTTCAAAATGAAGTGTAGTTTTCATTTAATTTTTTATTATTTTCGCCCTTTTATGTTTTTGATGTTTAGGTGTTCACAACAATATTTATTTGTTACAGATGCCGCAAAGATGGGTATACTGGCTGATTACAGTTTCAGCGTGCCAAGCAAGCCATTATGACACTGGAAGCGATAAAAATGCTATAGCCGATATTGGTGAGAATTCCACAGAACGCTTAGAAGCTATAAATGGAACACCAAATTACAGATTAATAAAACCAGAAAAAGGCACCCAATGGTTCCCAGAAAGAGAAATAAAACTTAACAGTTGTGTACGAAGAGCCAGATGTGAACCACTCAACAAAAACACATGCCTAGGTGTCAAATTACCTTATGATAAAACAAGTGTACATCTCACTTTCTATGATTCACAGAGTAAAATACAAAATCAGTTGGAACTTTACAGAGAACTAATAAATATACCTAAATGTTGGGCCGTTATTCAACCATTACTCTGTGCTACATTCATGCCTAAATGTGAAAAAATACTTGGACAAGATATGGTTTATCTGCCATCATATGAAATGTGTAAAATAACAATGGAGCCCTGTGGAATCTTGTATAACACCACCTATTTTCCATCATTTTTGAAGTGCAATGCAACATTATTTCCACCGAAATGTGATAATGTAGCAAGAGAAATGAAATTCAACACATCTGGAAAATGTTTACCACCATTAATTCACACTAATAAAGCTGTGCATTTCTATGAAGGTATGGCCTTATATAGAAATAAAAAATCCACCTCTCACATCCTTTGTAGTTAAAGGGTGTACACAACATTAACAAGATGAACATGAATGTTAAATATTTTTGCTCTTATATCTATAATATCTTTCAGTTTATTTAAAACAATTATAAAGTGACAAGTCACCCTACAAATAAGCACAAATGTGAACTTGGGCAGTATGTGCAAAACACAGTACTCGTAATATATTCGAATCCACAACCCAAAGGTCACGATGATGATATTCTAGGGTAATATATTGTATACTGTCAATTCAACACTGTTTTTTTGTTTCTGTGATAGAAAGTGCACTTTACGTATTCCCTATCCACCTGTAGTAAACATCCTAATTTTGATTTGAAGGTTTTCAAAAACTGAATATGGTCATAGTCACCAAAGCTTGTGGTGAATTTTTAAAGACTTTTTTATTCACATATTAGAGCCAAAAGTGCAGGAATAAATTATTTTTCAATATGCATATTTTGGCCTATGTGCAATTTGTTTTATCACCTATCTAAATAGTCTTTCAGTACTAGTCTGATTAATATTTTTCTTTTATTTCAGGTATATCTGGATGTGGTCTACCTTGTCGCGATCCTTTATATACCGAAGATGAGCATCAACAAATTCACCGGCTGGTTGCTTGGGGTGCAGGAATCTGCCTAGCTTTTAATCTGTTGACCATAGCAACATTTCTAATCGATTGGCGCAGTGCTAATAAGTACCCAGCTCTAGTGATCTTCTATATCAATGTGTGCTTTGCTGTTGCTTCAATGGGGTGTGTAGAAAAGTATTTATTTAATATTACTGAATTAAAGTCCAATTATCCCTTCTTGAATGGATGGGTGGATCCATATTATTTACAAAAATATTTTATATACAGCGTGTCTTTACAAACGCCATAATAAATGAACACCAATATAGAGGATAACTTTTTAAACTGTTATTAAGCATTAACATTCTTTAAACATCAATAATTACCCAGTTATTAAATTTTACAAAACAAACATTTTTATAACACCCTAAAACTGTAATGTGAAGTTCATTTGTAAAGGTCACAAAGGATATGAATGGGTTGAATGAATTTAAATATATATACAGGGAGATTTTTTGAGAAGTGCCCAAATTTACACAAGAGGTTCAGACTCGGTAGTATAAGTAGTATATAATCGTATATTGAAATAAAAAACAGTTTTTTTTTTCCAAAAAAATTTCATTCTATTCCCTAAAAAACAGAACATGTTGACAATGCAGTAGTCATTCATAAATACCTAAATTTTACTGTGCACGAACTTGTGTGCGTGTTAGTTATGAATGATCGCGCGTAAAATAAATGAGTTGCGTATAAATCACGCACTTTTTGAGATAAGTTCAAATGAATGTAATTAATTACGAGTGATTAATAAATGAATATGTGTGATTTTAAATATTTATTATTTTTTATATAACATTATTTATGTCTAGAATTTAATAAAAAAAAATGGATACTTAGAAAAACCATCCTGTATGTAGGTTTTATTATAATATTCCAAAGCATTAATCAACACTTAAAATTGCCACATTTCATTCATGCTTGTTTAGAGCCAATTATACAATTGAAAATTGTAACTACTTTTTATTTATGGTCCTTTAAACATATTGCATTACAATTTTAATGTTTTATCAGATGTGCAAACATTAGTACTATAATAACTTTAATATAAAATTAAAAAAAATAACTGAACAAACAATGCCAGCGACGCTGCATGAGAATCTTCCTTAACTTGACTTATTTAAATATTGTATTCAGTTCAATTTTGAATATCTGATAGTTTCGGTTATGGTTAAGGATCTCCAAAACATCCCTGATTTATTTCTAGCCAATAAAAAATTGATAGTCTATATTTGTGTTGTTTTATTTCAGGTGGCTTGTCCAATTTGGGGTTGGATCTCGAGATGACATTGTTTGTTCCAAAGATGGAACAAGAAGGCAAGGGGAGCCTTCAGCAGAAGAGAACCTATCATGCGTTGTTGTGTTTGTTCTTGTAAGTCATTGTTAACAATAAAAAAAAAATCTTAATAATCATATGTATTTCACATTATTAATTTTCCGCTTTTTCTTTTTAGGTATATTACTTTATGATGGCTGCTTGTGTTTGGTTTGTTATTTTTACATATGCTTGGCACATGAGTTTCAGAGCTTTAGGTAAGTAAATTAAATAATATTTCACAATAGCTTACTGTTTTTACAATATTTGATGGATATATGAAGATCTCATAAAGATGATTATTTGTTTATAGTTTATGATTGAAATAAAATTGTTTTGTCACATTCAGTAAAGCAAGTAAAGTGATTTGTTATAAATGTAATTATCAAATCCCTGATTAAGAAGTTTCAATTGAATATTAAAACATAAATATCTCAAATATATAACATAATTTTTAGTTGTTTAAGCCACACAGTAGTTTTCACTGTTACACAAATGGACAGGTCCATACGGACCAGCATGAAGTAGAAATGTTACACTTTTGTGTTTTGTCTGGTGTAACCAGAGCCCACTTTATCAAAAGGTGAAAACGCGTCTGCAACCCTATGGGATTGCAAATGTCTATGCGATTTTGATTGTGTCAAATAAAAATTAAACTTTAAAGTATGATAATGACTTAAAGTTCTTCTCGCAGCTCTATGAATTAAATTCATGTAGTATTGTCGTACATAATTTCAATTGGGATGGTTTTATTGCATCTAATATATATTTCCAATTGCAATCAATTCTCGTTTAAGTTTTTCTACAAAATAAATATAAAATTCTTACTTTATAATGACTGACTGTGATAACAAAATATATCGTTTCGGTTACAGGCAAGATACAAGACAGAATCGACAAGAAGGCGGCCTACTTCCACCTCGTGGCCTGGTCGCTGCCCCTGGTGCTGACCATCACGACCATGGCGTTCGGCGAGGTGGACGGCAGCAGCGTCACGGGCGTGTGCTTCGTCGGCTACGTCAACCACCCGATGCGTGCCGCATTGCTGCTGGCGCCACTGTCCGTCGTGCTGGTACTCGGCGGCTATTTCCTGTTGCGCGGTCAGTTCTTCGACCTTATATCATCATCATTACGGCCTGTCCGATGCTGAACATAGGCCTCCCCCATAGACTTCCGCGAAGGCACGGCCATGAGCCACCTGCATCCATTGACTTCCAGCACAGTTGCACCGGTCATCGCTCCATCTTCAGTTTGCTACCTAGTACAAATATTTGTATTTCTATTGGTTGGGTTGTAACTCCCAACAACCATTTTGACCTGGTAAGATCTATCTTAGTCTTCCCTTCGTATACATTACCCCCTTACTGGAGGATAACATTATATTTTGTTGTATGGACGTTTTACATACATACATTTCACGTAGGTAAATACCCGGTTGTCTCGTGTGGGAATCAAACCCATGACCCTCGACGTCGAACCACTGTGGTAAATATTGTTATTCTCCCGAAATAAGTTAATAGTACATACCACCAGCAGCATTCTCTTAACCCTCAAAAGTTACATACTTTTCCTTTACAACCTTTACCTTTTTATTGTCTGTCCACAAACTGACTCACAGAACTTAAAAACGACATACTATAATAATTATTTAGTTATTATATGCGTGTTTTATGGGCTTAACTATAAACCTTTTTAGGGCTATGAGGAAATATGAACTAGTTTTCTTCATGGCGCCAAATGAAGTCTAATGTTTTTTTTTACTATTATAAAAAATATTGACGGTTAACGTAAATACAACCCAGGCATTGCAACGTCCCATTATTATTATGATATTGGTCGGCTGCGAGTTGACCTTTGTTTCTCGCTTGCAATAAAATTAAAGAAAAATCGGTAAGACGACAGCTGCACCCACGTCGAGCTGCTTTACGTCAGTCAGTCCTGTAACCATGAATGCTGGGATGGGTTTGAAACGAAATGAGTTTTAAAAAAAATGAAACCATTGCAAGTGCATCTTAAGATGAAACATTAAAATTTATGGAACAAATGGATGAAAAGTTTTTCGACGCCGGGGGAAACGAACCACGTATTTCAGTTTCGCAACCAGACGCTTTGAACACAGCTTGTGTTCAAAGCGTCTGGTTGTGTTCAAACGGCTGATTGCCGCACAAATAATAATGTTATAAAATAAAGTTTATTCGCATTTCATTAATTGCTTGGCGCATCCTTTACAGTAAGCAAACAATTTCAAATATTGTTTCAAGACGTGGGTTCGATTCTCGCAGCGGCTTAAAACTTTCCGTCTATTTTTTTATCCGTAAAATAGTTCCATACAGCCGGTGCCTTGGGCTTATTCAAATAATAAATTAATGCATGAATATTTTTATTACACGTTGTGTAAATGTGTCCTAAAAATAAGTATATGTAGTACATAGTCCCAAGCTAAGCAAAGATTGTACTACGGGTACTAAATAACCCATGCAAATACTTTTCTTTTTTAAATAAATACATGTTACACATACATAAGCACCCAGACACTGGAAAACAGCTTCAACAATCAATATTTTTAGTAGTGGGTATCGAACCCACACCCACCGGCGCGAGAGGCAGGCTCTGCCAACAGCGCCAATCGGGTGGTACATGACGTGTATGTGTTCGCAGGCGTGTTCTCGCTGGTGGCGGTGCGCGTGTCCAGCAGGGACGTGATCTCCGCCCGCGCGGCGAACAAGATCCGGCAGACGATCACGCGTTGCTCGCTCACCGCTGCGCTGGTGGCGGTCTTCATCTGCGTCACGGTGGCCTGCCACGCGTATGAGTTCCGCAACGCGGACTCGTGGCGGGACTCCTTCAGGAGGAGCATCATGTGGGTGCTCTACTCGCTTTTTTGGGAGTTGCAAAATTTGACGTGGCAGCATTCATTACATTCGTTTATTGTTTTACAAAATAGTGATATCGGTTCGAAGAAGCCACTGCGTGAGAAGAAACGGCGAGAGAAACTGTGCGCGATTTACCTCTCTTTGGAAGTGAAAATCTTTTTACAATAAAAGTCCACTTCTATGAGCCGGGAGCTTTAACAAACAAATGTTCTTTTACATTTTTTTTAATTGTGCAATCAAAAGTATAAGAAGAATATAACTAGAATAAGAAGAGTGAGAGAGACGTATCTCAAAAGCCGATAGCGTGACTTCTCCGATGTTGGAAGTGACCATGGGCGGCGGTGATCGGTTACCATTGGGTGATCCTCGTGCTCATTTGCCTCCTTTTCCATTTCATTTGGCTCACAATACACAATAGCAAACATATTGTTGCACAAAATAAGAAACTTATCGCACCTGCAACCCTACGGGTGTTGCAGATGTCCATGGGCAGCCGTTATCACTTGACATCAGTTGAACAGCCAGCTTGCTTGCCATCTTCTTAAAATAAAGTAAAATAATAGCCTATACAGTTCCCACTGCTGGGCAAAGGCCTCCTCTATACAGAGGATATCGGCATAGTAAACCACACGGCCCCACTGCCGATTGGCGGACTTCACATAGGACACTGAGCTATCACGACCTATTTTGTCGTCACCTTGGATCGAACTCAGGTTGCACGTCATATTGAATTAAATGCCCGGACACTGACGGCCCATCTTCTCACATTAAAAAAATCACAGTTGCCGCCTGGAGGCGCTGAAGGGCGGCGGTGCGGAATGTTCGTACGGCGCGCGGCCCTCTGTGTCGGTGTTGCAGCTGCGGCTGCTCTGCTGCTTCGCGGCCGGCGCGCTGATGGCCTCGTGGACGTGGACGCCCGCCGCGGCCGCCGCCTGGAGGCGCTACGTGGCGAGGTAATGCCACATGTAGGTGCCACCCCCCATTGCACACCGTAGCCACGTAGATGCGTACTAGGGATGCCGAAAAAATATCGATATTTTTTATTAAATAGATCGATATTTTTAGCCGATATATCAATATAAAATATTCAATGTGGAAATCGTATCATAAACGTTATTTTTTCAAATTGGAATCTGGGACACATTCCGGACATTCAAGTATTTAATACGTAGCATATGTATTAAATGAAACTAGTTAACGGATTTTATCGCGTTTTTATTTTGTTTTGAAATTCCCGACCTTTCGAACCCTTTCCCGCGTTCACATAGGATACTATTTTTTTGGACAACAGGGCCTAAAAAGAAAATATCGATATTTTCTCTTCGTTATATCGAGGCCGATATTATTATTATAAATATCCATATTTCTTTACTATATATTTCTTCACTTTCGGCATCCCTAGGGCGTACAACTGGATCGTTCGCGCCGCGATCTGTTTGCGGACGGCTTACGTTCGCCTTGAAGTCGACACGATATATAGCGTATAGGAAGGATAGCGATGCCGCGACTCTTTCGTGCGAATCGTTGTGTAGCCAACAAGATGTGATTGTAGTGGCGATTCTCATAAATTCGACTCACCAGCTTAACACGACGATTTGCTCTTATTCCACATTTTATTGTTCATATTTTCAAATCACTTCCAGTTAGAAAGAAAGGATTCTTTAATTTATTTCATACTTATAAATTATTGTGGTTGGGCCACGCAAGTCTTTGCTGTTGCATGAATGGGCAGGTCCATCCGGGGTGTTACCACAATCTGACAGAAGACCGGCGTGATGAGGATGTTGTATACTTTTGCGTTTCGTCTGGTGAGTGAGGTAACTGAAGCCCCACTCTACGGGTGTTGTAAATGCCCATGGGCGGCGGGTTATTATTGCTATATTCTGACATAAAAAAATATACAACATCTAGCTAATATGGTTCTACGAACAAAACACGTACGTTACCGCGGCGAACTTTACCGAATAAACGGCATTACTGACTAGACGTCATTATGTTCGAACCGTCTAAATGCTTCTTAGATCGCTGACTTGCCGTATAGTTGACGTAACATTTACTATGTAGTAATTTAGAAGAGTTTCCAAAGTTGATGGCCGGTAATATAGAAAGTCGTTTTGTTCGCAGGAAGTGCGGGTGCTCGGTGGAGGCGGATGGCACCAGGCGCGCGCGGAAGGACGAGCTTATCGCGCGAGCTTATCGCCGCCGCGGCGAGTTTGCCGCGCGCGGCCGCATCTCAATCTCGCTGGGCGCCTCGCGCCAGGACCCCGTCGGCCTCTGCCTCGACCACACTGCGCCCATCGACTGCCACGACGATGCCAAGCACGAGAGGTCAGCCCCGTTCACATCTGCATAATATAAACCACCAAATAGGCAGAGCACTTTATTGTGTGCCAATTTAACCATATTTAAAGTTAAATAAATTCAAAGTCTATATTTAACTTTTAGCGGTGAACTGTCGTCATCGTGGGCTGCCAATTTGCCGCGCTTCGTGCGACGCCGCGACGCGCTCGTTCTCCCAACCCACACGCACCACTCGCTCAGTTCGACGCCGGACCGAAGGAACTCGCAGGACTCCCAGATAAGCATTAGCCTGCGCCACGTGTCTGTGGAATCGCGGCGCAACTCCCTCGACAGCCAGTTGTCCGTGAAGATAGCCGAAATGAAGACGAAGGTGGGGCGGCGGCGCACCAAGCATACCAAAGCGAAGAGGAAAGCCCGCGCGGCGAACGCACGCAAAGAGAGCACTCCATCCATCGAGAGTCAAATAAGCCGCTACTGGCTCCAGGCAGTCGCGGCCAATAACGACCCCTCTCGGGAGGAGGTGAAATTCAGCTTTGATTGAATCATTAGAGCTCTTTGTTTAATGCAAGGTAATTATAAAGCGCAAAAGCTGCAGTTGCAGTTGAAAATTAAATACTCTGTGTGAATTTGTGAGCATAATGAATCACACATTAAAGAGTTATATACTCACACAAATGAGTTGTTGAGCACCGTATGTACCGTAAGTACATTTAACCTGAAAATTTGGAAAAAAATATTATGCTTGACTAACAGATAATGATATTGTGTGTTATAACCAATTAAAGTTTCATATTATTTACACAAAGTAAACTTAAGTATTTCCTGGTGTATATGATTTTTTTATGTATCATGTACATGATTGAATTTATTTTAAAAGTGCTTTTTGTGGAGTTTTAAAAGAAAAGTTATATCATGTAATTTAAGTACATATAAGAAATAGTAAATTAGCTTAAGAGTTAAGATTTAGTTGTTAATATAAGATAAGAAACAGTTCAAATTAGTTTGTCTAAAGCCTAAAGTTGACTGTTCACTATTGTGACATATGACTAAAGGTTTACTTTCCCTCAATAAATCCGGCCATTGAAATACTTCGTGATATTATTAAAACAGTTTATTAAGAAGAAAGACTGATCAGAATCTCCGCTTTTATTCCTCTATTATATCCATGACAGTTTTTACTATTTAATGATAATCTCTAAATAAAAAATTAAAATTGTGCCATATAATGCAAGATATTATAATACAAGTTGATATTATAATATATTACAAACAACTTTTTAATAAGCCAATTTTTAGCTTGATATGTATTGTATTTATGTCAAAACTTAATATTTTTTACTAATGTACTGATTTCAGTAGAATTATGCTAAGAAGTAGTAAAAAGTGACATAGTTGTTTTTATCATAAAAATGGACCGATATAGGTTTAAGTCTGGAAAGTCCAAAAAGGTTGTGAGATAATATAACCCTTGTTGTGTTAAATATTATGAGGCTATGTTACGGATCGAGCACTATGAAACAAATAAATCTTAGTCATCACTTTTGCAACACTGACATAATTAATGTGCTGCAATACTTAGTGCGCGATGCTAATTACTGAATAAATGAATTTTGCTCTTTTATGAATTTGGTTACCCATAAGTCTGCATTAGCTTTAAATTTTGAAACTTTATAATGAATATGTATTAAAATGATTACATACAACTATCAATAATAAAAGTTTTGATAAAATTAAGTTGTCTTATTTTGCCTAAAAGTTTTGGGCTCCTTTAATGTGTTCAAGTGACTTAGAATTAAGAGGGTTGTGAATGTTAAATATACTAATAATAATCACTACTATAAATCAAATATTTAATTTACATTGATTACGCCGATTGTGTCTACTCGAATTATATAATATATTAATCAAATTCATAATTAAATTAAAAATTAATATATTAATCAAATGAAAATCAAGATTCCTTCACCATCATATAAAATGTTTAGGTTAATGTTTATTTAATTTTATTATTTCTCAGTAAAAATCACAGACCAGTCAGCTTCAGAGGAAAAAGCTAGCTATTACATATACACAGGGGTCTCATTCAAGGATACAAATAAAACGTTTTAATTCATTCCCAGTTTAATCAAAACAATCATAAAGGTCATAAAACAAAACCTGGTGTTTGCTGATTGTAATTCAAACAGTTCCAGGCAAAAAAAAATACCTATATTAAAACTTAGGTACTACTAGATTTTCTAGATAAAACGCAATTGGACATAAATGTTGGCAAATAAATACCTACAAAAAGTACGCAGGCAAGATAAAATTCAAAGAATACTATGTAACAAAGAATATACACCTTTTCAATTCTACCATATATTTCCTTAAAATCGTTCCAATTTGATATACACAGAAAACCAATTTATATGTATGAGCTGTTATCATCTATCTATGTAACTGTGAATGCATTACTTAAATCACCCAAGATAATGTATATATTTTAAATGGTTTATCTTAGATTTTCTTTACATATCAAATTGAAAAGAGTAAATTTGCTGTTTAATTTATTGGTAGAATTAATAGGCTATTACTAACACAATTATGCAAGAATTCAATCACAGATATAGCTTTAAGTGGCAAGACAAAATCTTAAATATTTTACTTTGCTTATACAATGAAGAAAAGCTCCGAATAACAATGTTTACATATTTGCAGAGATGGCAATTATTTAAAACTTTAAAACATTTTTGTTACTCGAAATTATTCTTCATTCATTGAAAGAAAACTTATTTTCAGATGTTAGACACCTAGTTTACACAATGCATTTTATGTACCTATGTGCTTCAAGTAAATCTTTAAAAATAAAAAATAACACATGCAAACCAACAAAAGTAGAAAAAATATTTAAAACAAAAAGGAACATAATAAAGATACTACACTAACAATTAAAAATTGTCACTTAAATGCTACACATGTAGCTATAGTATTAAATATTCATGTGTGTACTTATATTATTATAAAATAAAGTCAGAATTGCACAATTTTAAATAGAGGAATGTTTCTTTGGTGCTTATGAACTACAAAAACCACAAAAATGTCATTTTGAAACTATTAGCCTGTTTTTGTTCCAGCTATTTTGTATAACTAAGCATTATGAGCAGGAATTCTATTTATCTAAATAAATTGCTCCTATTAAATAATATTATGATATTTTTATGTCATCAAGACAAGCCAAAATTAAATCTAAGTAGCAAATAAAAATATAACTAAGTAAAGACAATTATCACACTTTCACAATATTTCACTGAAAAGTTTATGAAGCTCTGGCCTTTCGAATATTCTTTTTTTCAGCTTCAGTGAATCCAAGAATATTCTCAATTGCATTTAGATGTCCTTGGTGGTTCTCTGGGTCCGTCAGAAAATAGTAGATAGCTGATTTTAAGAACTGTAGGGTTACTTCAGGATCTACATTAGACTTATTGCCCTTTTGTGACTCGACAATGCGACGATACATTGCCTGAAAACAAATGACATTGTAAGGTGCAACTACAAGTTTTTAAAAGTGCTACTAAAGGAAAAAGAATATTGAGGAGAAAGGTAATATGAAGAGAAATGAGTTAGGATTTTATAAGAGAAAACAAGTATTGATAGTACATGAGAATATTAACAATGAAATAAAAAATAATATCTACAAACAAACACCTAGTTCTACTCTACTGCTACTGAAAATGTGTTTGTATTTGACAAAATATACCTATTAAGGATCTCAATAACTTATTTAATCCAAACACCAAAAGAGGCTGTTTCACAGTATCACATGCAAATTACATTTTTTAGTTAATGGTTAGTGTTATTCTAGTACTGTGAGTAGAAGCAAACTTAAAATCAATGTTAGGTTAAACTATTATATTAGCTTAATTGATATTATTACTAAATTTATTATTGTATGTTATATACAGTTAACTTGGGACTTGATGCACATGCTAATATCCTAATTCACATTACATGTTTATTGAAATTTGTTATCTATCATAGGAGACGCTTGCAAAGTTTATTCCATATAGGCACCCAAAAGTTGACATGATTTTTTGTAGTGCCCTTAACCCCACCCACCATCTTCCGCCTATTTAAATAAAACAAATATTTACTTTTAACAAAAAAAAAGGTTTCTGACCAGTGCAGTAAAGCATAGTGTAAAAAAGAATGTAAAAAATGTGAACATAATCTCTGACTGCCGATGCAAAAATCCAACCTTTCGAGCTCCTAGGACCCATAAAGAAACAGCCTCCTTTGCACTTAAAAGTGCTTGTGACTTTGCTGATCGGTCCTCTTTGAATGCCGTGTCCTGTAATGCACTATATGTTAAAGCTGTCCTTGTTAATTGCAACTACATGCATTGACTACTCAATCTTGCATTTGTTTACAGATTAAGGCCTGTTTTAACTCTTTTTCCTTGGTGTTTTCAATAACACATTGTTTAGTTAGCAACAACATGGTAGTAAGAAAAAAAGTAGGTAGCATATCTAATAGGAAGAAGAATGTAATATATTAATGTGTAGATAGATTATTTCAATACATTTTTAGGAAAGAAGAAAATGTTAATGAAATATTTAGAAAGTTGATATTTTGTTTTAGTGTAACAGATTTGGTAGGGTATTTAATGTCATAAGGATAAAAAGGACCGGAAGGAAATTAGCTTAGAATATATATTTTTTAATTTAACGATATGCCAATTAATTGCTCTTGAAATGCTCCATTAGAATCTGTAATTGCTATATGTTTATTACTATTCATTAATGTTTAAAAAATTTAATTTATCGAAAATTTAATTTTGCTATAAAATATACAAAAATATTCTACGCTAACTTCCTTCCGGTATAAAAAGGTATCATTGGAGTGAAGTGTAAGTATAATTAAATAAGTTGGTTTATCATTTTACTCACCCGGACATTCTCAAGTTCAGTTTGGGTTATTTGTAGCTGTGCTAACAGTTCCTCTACTGATACTCTGCTTAATTGTCCCTGTACTGTATCAGGTTCAGTTTCCTGTAAATAAAAAAAATCTTTTAAACTAGTTTCTTTTATTTACAGTATAAAGTAATATAGAAAGTAATTAATTATTTTTTACTTTGTCTACTTCAAATTTAGCAGATTCTACTCCTTTCTTATACATTTGTAGATACATTGCACGATGCCTACTCTCTTCATCTTTCAGTTGTTTACTTGCATCTTCCAATTGCTTTTCCAAAATGTGAATCCTTTCCTTAGCTTGTTCATAATTTGGCAACAATTCAGAATAACGCGTATTTACGTCTGCTAATTTTTGAAGTAGTGCCTCAACTTTATCATTATGGTTTTTCTTGATCTCCTGTGTATCTCCCATATGTGTCCTCATAACATCCTCAATTTTTTTTTCATAGTATGCAATTACATTGCGACGTTCCTCTTCACTATCACCCATGTCTGTCATACAGGAGGCATCATGAGTAACTAAATGAACAGATTCTTTGGAGTGTAGTGATGAATTTGTCATATCATCAAAATGGCCAGAATCAGTAAAGGAACCTTGCATTTCATTATGACACCTTGTGGGAGTCTGATCTTTAAACAAAGGGCTATCAGTTTCATCAAACTGCCTGCAGGATTCTTTACACTTTACACTGTCATCAATTAAACCTGCTTCTCCAGCATTTTCCCTTATTGTTACTATCTCACTAGAGTTTGATTTTTCATCTGGTGAACATATGGAAGCTTTGTACAATCTTAGTTCTACAACCTCTTTCGTTAGATGGAAAATTTCACTATCCTTCTTTTCTAAATCTTTCTTGGCCTGACATAGCAGTGTTTTCAAACGGCGGATTTGTTTTTGTGCCCTTTGTGTTGGAGTTAAATATTCATCCCCTGCCAAACCAGCATGTGACGAGCAATGAAGCACATATCTCATAGATCTTCCACTAAAGGTGGTACCATTAAATGGAGCATATCCAGCATCAACTGAGGCTGCTGTTGCAGCACTGCCATAACTATGTAAAGATTCATCATCTGGTAGATCTTCTGGTGATCCTGGTGGTGTATGAGCAGAATCAGTCATGCTGAGATTTCTTTCCATCCCAGGATCATGTGTTTTAAGGCAAGATTTCCGAGGTTTGCCTTGGGTGTTTGAATTAAACGACTACAAAATTAATAAATATTGTATGGTAAGAAATATTGTTAAGAGAACAAAGGAACTCAATTTTTGCACCAAAAATATATATTTATGAGAAATTTTTTCCACAAATTCAGTATTTTATGTCCTCCGTGGGTATACTTACGTGGCTGCGAGGGCGATGACTTGGCTCTGGTAAACGAGAGCCATCGCTTCGTGTCTTGGGGTGTGAATTTTCCGTGATTATTGGAATTAATTTCCTTGTGGATAAAGGCGAGCGCTGCACCATTTTCTCACCGCGCAGTCGCAGTGAGGAAGAGCGTCGAAAATTGCCGATGACACTTCCTGTGCAATAGTGGTCATCATGGAATTCCGGAATTCTGCGGCTTGTATTTCTACTCATTTTCTTCAACATTGAACATCGACGATATGTGCTGAAAAAAATTAACAGCTGGTATAAGAAAACTATGTTAAGAGGTTAAGTTTAGCAAAACAAAGCAAAACAGATAAAAAATACTGTTATTATTGTATTTTTCTGTTATAGTTGAATTTTTAATTTTCCAATCGGAAGAAGGAATCATAATCGATAATATTTTCCATTTCGCTAATGATGATATGTTTAAAGTGAGTGTATGTATAATAATTTAACTCACTCTGTTCTTTAATATTAATTATTAAGTTTCGTGGCGCTAATTTAATTTTAAGTTTCATCAACAATCTAGAGTTTTGTACAACTTCCGAAGAATATCATATCCGTTGCATTAGGTAAATGATAATAATTTAGGTAAGAAATTTTTTCAACGATTAAACAAAACCTGTCTAAATATGAGTATTTTTTTCATATGACGTTAATTCGACCGAATCTCGGCGTGTCTCTCGTGACACAGAAGACATACGTTTCTTCGACATTCGTTTGTTTAAAATTTTTGTGTATATGAAATTAACAATTGATGTTTTTGTTGTATTAAAATGAGAGGATACACTTGAGGGCTCTCGGTCGTAGCGGGTGAAAGGCTGTAAGCGGTTCAAAGAGATTATTACATTCTTATATGCTTTATATTCCACTCCATTCGGTATAATTTAATAAATTAAGTATTACGAGGACTATAATATGTTAATACAAATTCATCAATTTCATTAAACAACTTACATGTGTAAGTTGCCGGTTGCCCTCATGTTGGTCTCTAAACTCAATACGTTATTCCAATGGTGAAATCAACAAATTCCATTAATTTGCCGACCGATTATAGTATTTTTCACTTCTATAAATTTTTGTCTTTTTCTGTACTTTATGGCTAAATTACACAAAAAGCCGAGATATGAGATATATTTGTTACTTACAAAAGTATATTGATCCCTCCAACTAAAATATAACATTTAGTGTACTACGAGTACTTAAGTATATATTTTTCAACAATGCATACGCAGACCGGAAACAGTACAATACTATAAATACGTATAGTTGACAACCCTAGGAAAATGCCAATAGTACCTATAAAATGTGAATACAGTGACAGTACTACTGAATGTATGTAGGTACATACATACTACTTGATAAATACAGTGTATACTTTGGTAGTACTGGGTTTAGGGGCACTCGGGGCTAGAGGCCAGGGTGGCAAATTTTCAGGGGTGGCTAAATTTGGAGGATGAGAAAAAATACTGTTTTTATTGCGTCATCGACAATATTTTAAAAACTATAATCAACGTGTTGACAATATCTTCAAATTATAATAAATAATTATACCTATTTTATATTTATTAAAAAGTATCTTGAGGACATAAATATTGCACTTTCATAAGAAAAATATAAATAATGTACAAAAGTAGTGTAGTGTAAAATTTAAAATATTGCACTTTCATAAGAAAAATATAAATTATGTACAGTACCCAGGGAGGAGCTGACACTGGAGTTAAATAACCAATATAAAAACGGATATTGTAATCATTAAGTACTTTTATTTACAGTGCTAGTAATAATTTTTATAAGAAAACTAGCTGGCCCGCGCAACTTCGTCTGCGCCAATTCTACTGGGTCCATACGTTTCTACTATTCTTCTATATCTGTTAGAATCTTATGGGACTCACAGATAGCTCTTTGTCATCTAATAAATAAATAATTTGCTATAACAAATATTGAGATCAATAATTGAGATAATATATATATATAATATTATATATTGATAACAGCGCGAATGGGACCCAAACCCAATCTACACATATGTATACAGTTTGTATTTTCAAAATGGAGATATAAACAGGAAATTAAATTTACTTAAATTAATTTTATAATTAGAATTATACTTACTACTTCCAAAACCTTTAAGTTATGTCTAGGAAGGGTTTACGGTAAAACTATACTTGGACGTAACAGTATTATTTCCCTTATATTTCGATGTCTTCTTACGACACTGAGGTAAGGTATTGCACAACACCCTTAGAAGTAGCAATTCACAATATTGCTAGACACAACAATCAGTGGGACAGAGTTTGTTCTTATTTCGCTATGGTGCAGTGTCATCGACCCAGTCCGGTTTCTTGTCGCTCTATTTACGTCATTACATAAGTTAGCTATGCATTACATTTATTTATTTATGTATAATACATAATAATTATATTGCATGATGACTATATTTTGAAATTTATTACATTGTAAATGATACTCCACAAGTTATAGTAATTTTAAAGTAACCGCCTAATGAACGTTTTATTTTAATTTAGTAAAAAGGTTTAAAAAAACTCTATATAAAATATAACATTTTGATTGGTAAACCTTTTACCTATCTGTATACACTTTAGTATTGTAATGACCTTGCAAGTTACTTGTGGTGCTGTATAAAAAGCGAACGTTCACAATGAAAAATTATTCTTACTTTATAAATTTATTCTTTAATTGTTAATATTGCTATATCCGAATAAAGTTATGTATAAAGCGGTACCCTACTTACGAGTGTCATGTTTACAAACATATTAAGGAATGTTAATTATTGCTTAAGATTAAGTGATACAATACATCATCGTTGCAATTTTATGGTACTTACAAATACAAGTTTTTATTAAGTACACCGTGTTACACACATGCTAATAAGGCTTAACGTCTCACTACCATTGAAACCACAAAATATAAATAGTTAAATTAAATATATATTGGTATTTTATAGATTTAGTAAGAAAATGTTACCAAGCCTATAATATAAGTAAAAGAAAATTAACAAGAATAATTTTAAAGACGCTTAAGTAAATGTACATTTCATTGATACATATATACATAACGTATCAAAGAAATGTACATTTACTTAAATTTTTTTTTTAAATATTTTAACTGTGATAAAACGATTTCATTTATTTCACGTTTGTTAAATGTTGTTACATAAAGTACTTACTAACAATTGCTCCTTGCGCAAAATTTTCAACCTTCATAAGTTTCAGTGAAAACTCAGTTGTCGAATCATCAGCAATCCACAACGTCATCGCGCGGAGCGATATCATAGTTCGTAATATAAATAAGTCGTTCGCACAATACTAAGTATTCGAAAGGCAATCATAGAAATATCAACTCGAGCATCGCAAATTACATAGAGTAAACCATCCACGTTAACTTTTACGCTAAGAATGTTGCGGCGAGTTGTCGGTGCGCAGTGCGTGCTTGGTCAATGTTTGTTCACGGTGGCTGATGACGCTACCAGCGCCCGGTTCACGCTGCGGCGGCGAGCGAAAACGGCGAACTTTAGAAAGAGTTTCCATTAGTAACAGTTTCAATATACCTCGATGTTATGCAGTGCTCAATGTTGCGAAGAGCTTGTTCGTATTTCCTTAAAATAGCGTGAAAAATCCAAATGGTCACGTATCGCGGTGCATAATGCGCTATCTAGAGTCACGGTTTTATTTACCTATAACACATGTAATGGCGCTTGAAATTGATTAGACACCCGATTATAGTTAATATTACGAACGTAAGAATTTCACAGAGAACTGAATATTCAAACAGAAAGTTGAATCAATACTTTTGATCGCTTAGCTACACTGACTGCATGTCGTAGGTACTGCTGTTTGGCAATAATCTACCAATAGAAACCGTTTCGTTGGTGGCAATGGAATTGGAAATTGCGGCGGCAATTTTTTTCATCGTCAGCTATTATTACGACATAGTCAGATAACTATGGATAACTATATTTCATACGTACGATAGAAGAGTATTCAGGAAGTGAATTGGATCAGGATTTAGTTTTTTAGTGTTTATGTGATGATATTGATGAATATTATCATCCCTAATAATGATTGAAGAATTTTATGATCTTTAATCTCTAGTAGTCGTAGAGTAAGTTAAATATTAATAAATTTTGTAGTTATGAAGTTTCTGAAACAAACAAATGAATCTTTCCAAAAAAACGTCCATAGAAATTTTTTGTTGAAAAATAGCCTTCCATTATTCCTTAATTAATTATACTTTCATTAAGCAATTTTTTGACATTTTTTTACGTTACACAGTCTTTGTGTGCCGACAAGTAGTGCTGCGGCAAAGTATATTTACTTAATGTTTATTAACAAAAACCTATTAAAAAGTATAACAATTAGAAAGTGAGTACAAACTATAAATTAATGCAGGGATATCCCATATAAAAGAATTATCGATGACATTAATTTAATAATATTGGCTGTTCCAGAGTATTATAATCCAGGACGTTTGTGCCACAATTACTACGACAATTCCACTAAGGACAAGTTTTTGTTTGTTTCAATGTGTATTTGTAAAACGTCACTGCAACATCGGAAAATATTTCCCGGGATTTAAAAACGGCGGGAAATAAAACTACAGCCCTATTATGTACTCAAGATTAAAAAACAACGTGAGTTTTTTAATGGATAAATTGTCGACAAATTTTCGCCTTGATTCGAACCTGCGTCTTCTGCGTCCAGACACAAGCCATTGAGTTATAGGCCTGATATTTTCACGGCGCTAAAATCTCGACAACAATTTACTTTATTTGCACTTTTAAACAGGCTTATATCGTGTACTTTAATGAGATCGTTCTCCATCGAAATGTATTACAGAACTTAATTGTTGAATTGCTGTAGTGTGTTGTCGTTACTTGCTATAAAACCAAGGTATTTTTCTTTCTAGTGGTATAAGTAACTCGACTGCAGATAGCATCTGATATCTCTATGACATACAGATAGATGGACTGACAAAATTTTTAATAAGGTTATATGTACTTTATATACTTACCGTGTAATCATTCACACTTATTTAGGACACATTTTTACACAACATTCTCTAGCCTCAAACTA